AAGTACACAGTGAATATGAACAACTTAGCGTGTGGGAGAAAGTTAAATTCGTAATATGACTAATTCCCAATGATGAATTGTAGAAATGAAGACGTGTAAATGTTTATCTCGCATAAAAGTTAATGTCTTTCATTTCTAAGAAACCAAATAAATGTTATAAATGTCACGATAGTTTTGAAATTTCATCAAATGACAAATAGAAACAGTGCAATAGCTTAATTATTGGTTGCTTATGAAATTTAATGCAGTTCTGAGAATTCCTAATGCCTTGCAAATTCTGAGAAGATTACTCCGATGTTTGATTTCGAAACTTATTACAATGAAGTGAAAAACAGTTGATGTATTATGAAATAATCATAAATGAAATACCATTTTGCGTAGAAAATATTCAGTCCATTCAATTTGTAGATAAGACGTTCGTTCGAAGATAGACTACTGGCACGTTATTAAATTTATTTCTTTTTAATGTTAACGTTTCAAGGGACATTGGCCGAAAATTTCTGGTTGTTGTGCAACAATACTACGAGCCGCCACTGATGCCAGCTATTATATGTTGTCTTGAGCCCCAGAATCCTTAGCCTCACTCCTTTGCCAACATTAGTTGAATTAAGAATAAATTATTGCTATGTGCACTCTAGACAAATTTGATAACAAAAGTGTTTGCTCCCGTGTAATAGAAACTATTTTTCATCGAAAAATACTACAATTTTTTTATAAAATTTATTTTGTCAAAAGAAAAAAACTCTCCACTCCTCTCGCAACAAATGAAGCCAGGGCTCAAGAAAACGCGTGCGGATTATACAACGTAACCGTTCTAAGTTTAAATTTTAATATTAATTAGCCGAAGAAAGATAAAATACCGTATGAAACTTGATGCAATGAGTGTAAAGTGATATTACAAGACGAGTATCACACAAAATGTCATTACATTATCGTTTCATAATGTCCTATTTTATTACAAGTCTATAATTCCGATTAAAAGACGGGCGAATTAATTTTTGATCAGCTGGGACGCTGTTATCCAATCAGGAGCGTCAATATCAAAAATTAAGTTTCAACGAAGCTCCTGATTGAATAACTGCGTTCCAGCTAATCACCAACAATTCGCCGTCCTAATCGATGTATGTACTTTCATATTTTATAATGGCACTTGACGTTTAATCAGCTGTTACGGTGTCATCCAATCGGGAGCCTGAACGTCACCATAGTGACGTCACTGTAGTGATGTTCAAGATTCCGAATTCGACACCGTAACAGCTCACTTACGCCATGCGCCCGCTACCAATAAATCGAAGTACAGATGAGCATCCTGGACATTTTGGATGGCATTTGGGCATCCCTCATTATTTTGTATCGCTGGTGCTGTTGCAGGCGACAGCCGGCGGGGACTGGGGGCTCCCGGTGCGGCCGCCGGCGCCGCGGGGCCTGCCCCGTCCGTGCAAGATGCCACCGCCGCCATGAGTCAACTCAGCATGCAAGGTAACATCTCGTTGAAGTGAGAATAGTTTTAAAGTGGTTAAAAAAAAACTCATTTTTACTGTACGGTATTTTTATTCACATTACAATCAAATTGTTCTAGAAATTGCTTTATAAAATATATTTTACGTATAAGTTATATATTGCGTTTACGTTTTCATATTCCCCATAAGAGACAATGCTACTAACTAAATTTCGGAGTTGCTTAGGGGCCTCGTCCGTGGAAGCCACGCACCCGAAAAAGAATTGCATAAAACGTTTGAAAAAAACTCTTATAAACTCTTTGAAAAAAACTTAAAATATGTTTGGTTTTGAAAAACTAATTGTTAAATAGTCTTTTATAAAAAATGAATATAAGATTTGTTTTTTAAATTTTTGAAAATGTTCATTTTTCCCCGGAGGAGAGCCCCTACAGGAGTTTGTACTTGGAAGTCCCGCAGTACCTAAATCCGACCCTGGTGATTTAATTGATTGGTTTTTCCGGGCTCGTAAACTATTGTGGACATTACTCCCGTTAGTGTATTGAGTGTTTTCTTATTTCGAGAGGTGGCAGCTCCTCCGCTGGATGGTGAGTTCCAGTGCTGACGTACATAACGACATGAGTGGGATTTTCCTCTAGGTATCTCTTACAATGGAACACCGCCCCAGCTGGGGCAAGCTCTAAGCTCCCGATAGGTGTGGTAGAGAAGTACTTGCGTGTGAGTACGGGGAGAGGAAAGGTCTAGTGGAAGGGGCGATTGCGCGCGGTCCGTGGCCCATTTGTGAAGGTAATGCTCCGTCATTCACGTGGTATTGATAGGAGAAACCTCGGAAAACTACCGAGCAGAGCAGTGGACCGATAAAATTCTCCTTCAGACCGCGACTGAATTCGACCTGACTGTCTGGCTAGTGTCGAAAATCCGCGTCGTCGAGACTAGAACCCAAGGACCACCCGGTCAGCCGCTGCAGAGACAACGGTACTGCTGCCTGAGCTATCTCAGCCCATTCCTGCGGTGCCGGCTCGCTGTAATCGCTTGGGATTTCAGAACGGCCGCCGGCGGCGGCTGGCGGGCCCCAGCGCCCCCTCTCCCGGGGTCGTGCCCGCGGCCGCGCCTCCGAGGGAGGCTCCGCCACGCGTCCCGGTGCAGCCGCCGCCCCCGTCCCAGCCGTCGCTGCCGCACCCGCCCAAGGTGAGTTCTGAGAATAATCGAGAGTTCTCGCAAACAGCCTGCCTGGAAGACCTGATAGTTACATCCGCGTTTCTCCAGCGACTCCAATAAGAGAGAATGCTGAACAGTAGCTTTGGCGAAGTAAAAAAACCTTCTCTAGCTGATAGCTTCAGAGCAGGTCACAGCACGCGGGGAAACTCTTTAGAAACAAACGCTTGTAGTTCTGAACGTGCCGTCTCTCGTACATTGCTGGAGACTGTCGCGTCTAATACAGTGACAGAGATAACCAACATGGAGGTTCTTAATTCACAGTCCAATAGTTAACAAAGAAACAAAGGGCAGCGAAATATTGTTTTAATATATAATTTTGTCGAAATGATATTCCCTCTAGAGACGTGGACAGAATATTGGTTTCAGAGATATTTTCTTCCTAAGAGGTATACATCTGTTATCGGGTTGACTGTAACTTAAAATTTAAAAAGTATATTAATTTAAGGCTCATTACAACCTATACAGTAGTTACGGTATTTTAGCTAGGGCGATGCGAGTCTCAAAAAAGTCGAAAGAATAGTTATTTTTATATTATATTATAGTTATAATAAATCTTTTCACTCACTGAAGCTCACTTCACGGAGAATAACTATTAAAATATCGGGCGTCACTTGCGCTAGTGGACATGGAATCAATACACCCATATCACTGAGGAATCAATAGGTACAGATTATCGAAGACTTCCCTTCAATACACCTCAGATACCAAACAATATTGAGGGAACGCGTCCCCTCCCAACGGCATTGCGCATTTGATTAGGAGAAGGAAACAGCTTGGCTGGGTGCTCAGCCACAGCTCACTTTGAAACGAAGAGAAAGGATTTTATCATGCTCTTCCTCCTCTTGAGTACTAACAAGATCTTCCGGGTAGGGTAATCGTGGGTAATGACTGGGTTACCGATGTTTGGAGAGTTTCTTTCCTTAATTTCGTGCATCAATTTCCTAAAATATCAGATTAAACTAGAGGTGGTACAGAATGACACAGACTTTATCGTACTGGTTTTCTTTACGCATGTATACGAGAAAGTAAAAAAAAGAGTAATTCATGAATTACTAAAATTCAAGGGAGATTTATTACATACGAGGTAGGCCTAGGGAGTCCCTTTCGAAATTTTCAGGGGTCACGGTCTACCTACCGCCCCCTCTTCTGTGCGCGTGCCTCATGCCCATAGAAGGCCCTATATGAAAATGATGTGGTTGAATTTGACGAGTCAAGTGAAACTTGTATTAATCTTTTCTACCAGAAACCCATGAATGGCAGTCTTGGCACGTATCATGGGTGCTACTCATAAAGGGCGCTTTTCAGAGTGTGACCACTAAAACAAATAACAGGTCTAATTTGAAGTATCCTGACAAAGGCGAAAATTCTATGCTTGCCATGGGCACCTAGATACGCCTTTGCCTGTATCACTTGAAGTGTACGCATACACTATACGATCAAAAGTATCCGGACACGTCCAAAATGGTGTTATGGTGTGGTCGTGTTTTTCATTGAGGAGGCTTGCACCCTTCCTGAATGGGCTGCCATTCCCCACTGCCCATCCCCCTTTGTGTGGAACTACCGCGGCACAGACCTACGTTGATGTTTTAAACACCTTGCTTCCCAATGTTGAAGATCAATTTGGGGATGGCGATTGCATCTTTCAACACCTGTTCATACTGCACGGCCTGTGGGGAGTGGTTACAATAAATCCCTGTAATGGACTGGCCTGCACAGTCCTGACTTGAATCCTATCGAACACCTTTGGGATCTTTTGGAACGCCGACTTCGTACCAGACCTCATCGATCTACATCGATGCCTCTCCTTAGTGCAGCACTCCGTGAAGAATTGGCTGCCATTCCCCAATGCCCATCCCCCCGAAACCTTCCAGCACCTGATTGAAAGCATGCCTGCGAGAGTGGAAGCTGTCATCGAGGCTAAGGGTGGGCCAACACCCTATGGTGCAGCATTACCGATGATTGTCACTATGAACTGGTTAGTCATTTTCAGCCCAGACTCCGGCTACTTTTGATCACATAGTGTACACTGCGTAGTGGAATTACATAATGACAACTTAACACCTTTTAATTTTTTTAAGAAAAATTGAGTGTAATGGAGTTCGATACAATTTTCAAGGGGGAAATATATTTGATTCACGTAATGCACATTAATTGTAAGATTTTCACGCATTCATTTTTGTCGTATTCATGGCTGCACTATCTTCTATGACAGCCCGCCATTATGCGCATTACTTTACCGTGGCACAATAGTATGGATGAAAGAAGTACGTCTCTGCCTTAGCAAGGCCTTTTCATTGCTACCAATCACAACGGTGGACTATACGAATGTTAGCGCTGCCATTGGCTGTTACGGACAGTGTCTTTTTCGTTCCTGTTCGAGTTGGAGTTCGAGAAGACTCGTATGCGTGCATTTGTGTCATGGCAGCGTCCAGAGAAGTACGACCCGCGGCCTTCGAGGGGCTGATGGCTGGCGGAGGCAACGGTGATGCACCTCAACGGGTGCGGGGGCGAGCCCGCGCCCAGATGTTGGTCCAGCGGCTGCACACACGGCCCGAACACATCGTTAGTAAGAAAGGTAAATAGTCTGCCATGTACTCTCCCCTCACTTCTAGCATTAATGCCACGAGAAAGATGTCGATCCATAGGAAGAACTCTTGATTATAAATTTAACACATTTAAGCTGTATGCACGTTAAGACAAACACCATTTCTGTGATTTTCACTAATGGTATTGCAAATTCTTCCGATCGATCCATGGGGTGAAATCTGAGATGGTCTATATGGGTACAGTAACGGATAGTATGTTTTCCCTCAGACTTAAATGCCATATAAATCTCATGTCAATCTCTTAAATCTCAACAAATTATTAATTTCTACCCTTGCACTTCGACAATCTGCCTCAATTTGTTGTAAAATCATCGCTTCTCAAACCTCAGATGTGTATGTAAATTTCGTATGCAAACGTATGTAAATTTCTTGTCGCAGTAAATTATTAAATTATTATTTCTCCCTTGTATTTCGAAAACGAATGTCCATTTCTAATTCATGAGGTAACTAGTGTTTTAAATAATAAAAATGTACAGAAAATGTCTGGCGTACAACATTCATCCTATCATATTTCACCTGTCACTCAAATAACCATCTCATGCGCATTAGGAGAGTGGTGATTGTGGTGCCAAAGAACGTATTCGAATGTGCAAGCGGATGCAATAGTGAATACCTCTTTCTACTTATGAATGTATGTACTTATACCGGTGGCGGAGAATTAATATCGCTAATGTAGTCCAACTCTTGAAAACTGATAATCTGTTTCAGTTCGTTGTAAAATCACAAGTCGCAATTATTATTTGTGGATGATATGCACATGAAAAATATTCGCGTACGTCCGGCACGAAACGTTTATTCTTCCAAAAGGTGGATTGTCACGAAATGCAGACCAAATAGTATTTGATCCAATCGAGATCCGAGCCTAGATCATTGTTACCCTGAGATGCTCTAATCTTCGAAAGTAGCAAGTAAATCATTGCATACATGACAATTTAACTATCCTAAAGCGATCACCGATCTTGTAAACAATTCAATTCGCATGAAGATAAACGAAATGTCATTCCATTTCTTTCTTATTTACCCTTCATGTCTATTGCATAGTTTATCCATTGGTTTTCAATCTGTCACACAATGAACCGTACAGTGGTGGTGGTGATGTGTTGGGCGTATATACGTAAACATTTAATTGATGCTTAAAATATGTTCTCTGACGCGATAGTTAAGGCCTGTTTGTGCCGATAATTATTCATGACGGATCGTGAGGACCACAGGTTCAACCCAAAAGTAGCTTGTTGAAAAATATATTTCCAAGAAGAAAGTGAGAATATACATTTAAACTAGAATTATGTTGGTGGTTGCACTAAGAATATTGTAAATTCGCTCCTCTTCTAGCGAATAGTAAATATTAACCGTACCATTAACCTTAATTATCTTTGGTTAATAGAAAACAAATGTGCGCTTCCTGCTTGCAAAAACACTTATCTGCACCACCTCATTATTATAAGGACACAAGTATTTCATTGAACCCTCAGTTGAAGAGGGATCTCTGCTTGTCTACTTGCGCAGCGTTTCTTAACAATACAGTATGCGATTCGAGCTCAGCGTTCCAACTTGTGTAAACTCAGTAGCGTCCAAAGAATGTAGTGACGCAGATCTTTTTTTTTTTAATTTACTTGTACAAAATTCTTTTTTTTGTTGAGAAATTGCTGCGTAACTAGGCACGCAGTTCAAATCTCATTGCCGATGACAACCAAGGCGGGAACTCCAAAGTGAACTCCACTTCCAAACTGACCATCCAAGATTCGCCCCGGAGTCGATTTGTCCGAACAGTTTCTCAAATTCTAATCAATGCGTTTGACGTATGCTCATCAAATACGTTCGGCCAAGCACGTTTCCGTCTATGTCGTGCGTTTTTCTTAAAGAAAATATTTTGTATGAGTGCCATTGTGTGTGCATGTTGCGATCTAAAAAAAAGCCTATCGAGTAACTTGAACGAACTACGCGCCAGACCCCCCACCCATCACCGACTTATTAAAGTAGAAAGCAAACAAAGTTTTCTTATAACTCCATGTCTTCCTAATTTCAATTTGTAGGTCCAGAATACAAACAATTCCAATTTTGAACATGTGCTTCTTATCGCTGTTCATCATCGTCTTTGGGCTAGTGAACATGTACTTCTTATAATTCAATAAATATTAATTTGATGAAAGGTAGTTTGATTTATTTGTATACTGTGAGAATTATATTTTCATGCCACTTATTTTCAAGCATTTTTTATTCAGTCTTTCTGGTTAATTGTAAGGAGTATGAAATTGTAAGTTTAATAATATTAATGAATCTTCAGATCTTGAAATATAAATTTATTTGTAAAGCCTTATTCAATTTTTTGAGAAATTAAATTTCTGCATTGATATAAATAAAAGTAATTTGCATGCCTTATATATTCCTTCTAAAGCATATAATCTAATTTAAAAAAATATTTTCATCATTAATATTATGTGCAAAAACAAACATTTGAATTAGATTGAGGTAAGTTTAACAAATTCAAAAATAAAAACGTTAGTATATTGTACATGTTTGGAATTTTGTTCAATATTTCAAACCTTCTTACTTATTACTTCTAATACATTGTATTCAGTATATTTTGTTAGTTAGTATGAAATAAATTTTTCAATTTCTTTCATGTTTGGATTGCATGGCAGCTGTGCAAAGCACTCTTCTTCCTCCAGTTAAAATTTCTTGACACATGGTGAGTCATGAGAGGGGGCACTGTTATACATTATCTCATTTTTCAAATTGAAAAGAGATTGAAGCTCCAGTTTGGATAAAAGTATCTCCTCCTAACTCCTCAAGTATCAAAAAATTTTAATCCAAGAATAGAATTGAAGTATTATTTGTTCCATTAATTATCTGCTTCAAATATTATTCCCATTCTCTCACAAATATCTTTTGTAATATTGTTAATATGTATATTCTTGTATATATTTATACTCCTATCATATTTTGTAATTTAATCCTTTTTCTTTTGTATTCCATGCTTAGATGGAATTTATATACTTACCTTAATGTGTTTGATTTCCCCTAATATTTTTTCCTGCTTTTTAAATCTATGTTCTTAAAAGCTCTTAGAGAAAAATATATTGTATAAAAAATACTGATTTGTTTCAGGCTATTCAGGTTCCCAAATAACACTTCAAGCCAATTATTTCAAGCTAGACATGCCCAAAGACTGGGAGCTTTTGCAATACCGCGTAGACTTCAACCCTGAGCAAGATCTAACATCGATTCGCAAGTATCTCTTGCGAACCCTTCGTCCTGAATTGGGTGCTTTCTTATTTGATGGCACAGTCCTTTTTACAACAAATCGTCTCACAAATGATGTAAGTACAGAATTTTTTTGCTCCATTCAAAACCTCTAAATTTGCCTTTCCATTTTTGATATGTATTCCCAATGTCCATCAGTAGTTTGATAAATAACCATACAGGTTGATAAACTTTGTGCTCTGAACTAGCAAATTTTGTTCAACAGTCTCCAAAATATGAGTTTTAATTAAATGTCCGTCTGGTAATGTTAGTTCATGACCAATTTCGAAACTAACGCAGACAATAGTTTAATTTTCTTGTTGCTTGAATTTTGGATTTGTTTGTTGAGCGAATATTAAATGGATCTGGCTCGTAGACCAAAGTTTTGGAAGCACGGTTGTAGAAAATTTGTTGAATATTTATATCATTTTAATGATCAGCAATGAAAATATTTTTTTTTTAAAGTATTTCACCTTTTCCATTCTATAATGTGTAATATTGAAAATATGTTGAAATAATGTTGGAAACACTCGAGGGATTGGAAATATACTGGGATGTTCATTATTTGAAAGTCAATCATCGGAAACATCAAATATGTGAACTTGTATTTTCCCTAAGTAATTATTTTTTTAATTAGGTATTGCATACTGTACGTATTCATCTAATTTTGTAATACTGAATATTGTGAATGATCCCCAATATGATTGACAGTGAAAAAATATTATTGAAATACTGTACTGTAGTCAATTATGTGATTTTATTGAACTCAGACAAATCCCGCAATAAATGTTTAAGAACTCGGAATGTTTATTATTAGCAGAAAAAAGCTTTTCAGACCCTTTAAGTGCAAGAGAACTAATAGTACATTGTCAAACAACCCACCATAAATACTTAACGCCTGTCACTATCTTGCAATGTTCATTGTTGGCAGAAAATTCATCGTCTTTTGGTGTAAGAAAGTAAGAAACTTTATACATACATTTTATGAACACTTGCCATTTTTATGTTATCCGAATTATCAAATATTTCAACTATATCTGGTCCCAATTAGTTCAGGTTATGGACGTCCCAATGTATTACAAAAATATCACTCCTCCAAAAAACAAAGAAACAAACCCTAGAGTAATGGTTGGATTATATTATGAACTAAATTTTTAATAATCCTTGCATTTTATGATAGACAAGGAATTTATGGGAAGGAACAAATGAAAGAATCCAAAAGTTTTAACTGCTGAATTTTAACATGATTATGTATGTACTCTCAAAGCTAATTTTATCTGACTCAAAATTTGTTAATAGATTTTTAAGAGTTAAAACAATGGAACTAACTAACACAAGAAACCAACTTCAATTTTTCTGACAACCCATACTATGGGGTGAGGCAACCTTCCAAAAATGTAATAGAATGTCCCTGAAAATTTAAGAACGTAATATTTGAAATTTAACAGATGCTAAAAATTTACAGAAATTGTTTGATAGCATTTTAAAATTCAAAGATTGAAGTTCAAGATAAAATTTGAAATGAGTGAGAGCTCTATGTGCTTCAAGTGGCTGTGCTCTATGAGTCAGCCTGGTATCCAGCCTGAGTGACTGACTAATCTTTTAAATATAAAACAAACTGCCTCACCCACTGCTTGACCCTGGAGAAAAACCTAGTAAGGGAAAATCCACCAGGCATGCTGCGTTATAATACAATCGTATAATATAATACAATAGTATACTAAGTTAAATATATTCTTTCAAAAACCGCTCCAAATGTATTCTTTAAATTTTCTCCACATATGTAGTAAGAGACTAAAAGAATATGGTATTTTCCCATTTTCAGGTATTGCTTGGTTTTTCGAAAATCACAAGAACTTAACATTTTAAAACTACAACATTGTAGATAATTTTCCTCAGGCAAAGTCTGATGTAAAAAATTAACTCTTTAAAAAATTTCACGTACAATTTTTTGAAAGAAAAATACAAGTACTTGCGTAATTTTCACTTCAAGTTTATTAAAAAAAAAATGAAATTGAAAGTTGAGCAGCAATTGAAATCTGCAGCAATTTGCTGAAGGGTTGCCCTTCTGTCACGCGTAATGATTCTCCTCAGTCGTCGTTGGTACCGTTCTTGCACGATCTTTTTGCAGCCATAGTGATGCCGGAGTTTTGATATTTTGTCGGATTCCCGGTACACTCGTAAAAGAATCGTACAAATTTTATCGCGATCATGGAGATGCTATGTCCCATCTCTCACGAACACCACGCCCAAAGTCACTAAAATAGTGATAACCAGCCATTGAATCAGCAGTAAAATCTGTGCCAGACTGGTTGTCTTATATAGTGCTGACCGGAGCGCTGTATTCTGATTGATTCCAGACCTTTTTATTTCAATAAGAATAGTTGTACCAGTTTTTCTTCTTTTCTTTCTTCAGTGTATTTTCGTGGTATTAATGAATAATTGAAATGCCATGTTTTTAATGATGAAACCACAACTTTACAGTAATATTGACTTAAATAAATAGACTTTTCTGAATTTATTAAATATCACTTATACTGTTATAGTTTTCACTCATTCATATTCAAGTGTTCCACCATGGGCCACGAGAAACATCTTCAGAGAACAGGAATGGATCCAAAGGACATGAAAAAAAGTTAATTTTTATTATAATTCACTATTGAAAATGTTATTATTAATTCTATTTTTACTCTATTCTACAATTTGTATTCTCAGTGAATTTGTAATAGATTTTTTCAAACAATCTACGAACCATAATTGAAATTTGTGCCACAGTGGATATTTGAGAAGCTCATTGTTGAACGTCAAGATTGTGGTGGTGAAGCTGTGGTGTGGAGTTGAAGCTATTTTATTTACAGTCGAGCTTATGTGTACAAATTAGCCTTTTAGAAATGATTCAAAACCTATTTGATAATCCATATTTTTTGTCCATTATGCGAAGTAAGAAAAAACATATTTTCACTGAACGAAAAGTTACTTTTCTATGTATATTTCAGCATGTCACTAGCAATACGTTTCATATTATAGGCAAAAATTTAACATTTCAGAACTATGAAGTTGAAGATGCAGAATTTTATCTTACATTTCTCTAAAAAAGGTCATGTACAACTTTTTGAAAAAACAGATTTTTTCATGCAATTTATGCACTTCATAAAGAAACATCTCAAAAACCGCTCCATTTCCCCCCCCCCCCCACACACACACACACACACACACACACACACAACTGCTTAAATTTTTTGTCATCTAGAACAAAGAATGTTTAAGAATGACACAGGTCTCCTTGTTGAACTCTGAATTTTTGAAAATTGCAAATTAAGAAATAATGCGAGAAAGTAAGTGCTGTTTTACTGAAACTAATTTTTTTGGTTTCTCCTAAATCTAAGAAATGTGTGTTACGCTCAGGTGAAAGAAGTGCGGGAAATGATGACACAGCGCCAAGATGGAGAGAATGTGCGTGTGTCTCTGCGTCTTGTGGGAATGATGGCAGCTGGTGATTATCAGTATCTGCAGTTTTTTAACATTCTTTTGCGGCAATGTATGCGGCATTTGCATCTTCAGTTAGTGGGCAGGAATTTTTATGATGCTAAAGCTAAGGTAATTAATTTATGTAGTTAGTTCATTATAAAAGTTGAAAAATATTTTTGTGTTCATAATGCTACTTATGCTAATTCCTGCTTATGCTAAAATGATTGTGTTTTAAGTCTGTAAAATCTAATCATACCCTTTGTATTAATTAAATGTGTTATTCTCTCTCTTCACAAAAACAGTTAAGTCTGAAATTTTCTGCATTTTGTCAAGCTCTTTACATCTTGTTACTGCATTTTTTTGTTATGTGTTTAATACTGGGATGTTTTGGAAACTCCTTTAAATAATATTCCGACAGATTGTTGTGCCTGAATTTCATATGGAACTGTGGCCTGGATACATCACTTCTATTCGTCAACATGAATCTAGCATATTATTGTGTGCTGACACTAGTTTGAAGTTAATGCGGAAGGATACTGCTCTTAGTCTTTTAGAAGACTTCCACAGCAAAGATCTTAGAAATTACAAGGTTTGGAGAATATTTTTACTCATTCTATAATTTGTCATGACAAATTGTCTTCTATACAAACATTCTAATATTTGCTTTGTAGTAAAAAATAATATATTCTGTTTAGTGTTTTGGGGGAATTTATTGAATGTGATAAAAAATATAGATAAAATGTTTGCTAATGTGAAAGGAGAAAATTATTGAAACGTTGTGTACCCTCCGTATTTAATAATTCATAGGCTTTTTTTGAAGCGAGTTGTAAATCATCTTTATGATGGATTACAAAATGAGAATTTACAATGAAATTTTGATATCTCAAATCTGCGATGGGAAATGAAAACAACTTGAGCCTATCTGTTGAGTTTTGACCAACTGAAAACACATGCATTGGGAAGAAGGGAATGAAAAAGAAGAATTATCAAGGGATTTGAAAATGAGTCTTTGAGACATTTCCTTTTTTAAAGCACACATTTTAAGTAAGATGGCTTCTGTTTTCATGTATTGAATGCATTGAACACTTTATATAAATGTATTAATTAGAAATAAATGTAGTAAATTTAGTAATAGTTTAAAGGGAAGAGGTCCTTGCTCCTCAGTTTCTGTGCTCTTGTTGTTTAGAATATTGAAAGCTTTGCATGTGTGCTTACAATATTGGTTTCATCTACTTTTTTACAGCATTTGTTTAGTGCTGCAGTGATTGGAGCTGTGGTGCTTACTGATTACAATAATCGCACTTACAGAGTTCATGATGTTGCTTATGATATGTCTCCAGAACACACATTTGATATGAAATCTGGAGAAAAAGTTAGTTTCAAGGATTATTACAGAAAGGTAGGAGCGTAATTTAGTAGTAATAGTAATTTATGATCCAATAATTTTCAAATCTATTTAGTCGTTGCCTAAAGTGTCTTATTCTACAACTTTATTCAGTTTTTTAATATATACTATAATGTTTTTCCTTTTTTAGAGATATAACTTGAATATTATATGTGGAACACAACCCATGCTGATAACTCGCCCAGCAGCTCGTGAACGGCGTGCTGGGGCTGCTGACATCATCTGTTTAGTTCCAGAATTGTGTAGACTAACAGGTCTTACAGAAGCCATGCGCCAAGATTTCAAACTTATGCGTACACTAGCTACTTATTCACGAGCTAGTCCTGATGCACGCATGAAGCAAATTGTGAATTATGCTAAACGATTGAACTCAGAGCCAGAAGTAAGGGTGTAATAATTTCAAATATTTAACAGATATTCGTTATTCATTTCTCATTAACATTGTAGTTGTAGAAAATGTTTGGCATTCAATGATAATGCCAATTCTTTCTAAGTATGTCAATTTTTTGGGTTAGGTTGAAGATCTGTAATTCATCCCTTTGTCCAAGTTTCTTTTACAGTAGTTTTGATTAGATAGCGTATGGTCTACATACCAAAATTCTGCAATGCCATTTAATATTTGGTTTAATGTGTTTATGGTGCACCTCAGTCACGACTACCTTCACTACTGTCACTCGTTTTAGAAAAATTTTACTACAATAAAAGTACTATTATTACTACCACTACCACCACTGCTATTATGTTACCAATTTAATAATACTGAATTGGGGCTGCCTCTCACATGCCCCTGCAAATTTGCAAATCAATCAATTCTACGAAAAATACATTGAAAATCAGAAGTTTATGATTGCCACTCTTCCTTTGATTCAGTGAACTAATTATTCGTGTTTTTCTCACAAGAATTCTAATTTTATTGCCAATGCATTTTGACACCAATGATTCGCAAATCGCTAATGTGCAATGCTACCCAACTGATCTGACGAGCTTTGGTAGCAAGGGACTTCCAGCCCTCGCTCTCACAACTTGGTTCTCCCTCTTGCTCCAGCACTCAAGCTGTTTTATAAGTTTCTCTTACTTTTAAAAGTATTTATTTTAAAGAGAACACTCACTTTTAAGAGAACTTTTTAAATGGAATAGTTAATACTTAGACATTTTAAAAAGTAAACATTTCCTCGTTCAATTAACATTTGATAATACACCAACTTCAGCAAACAATACAAGACGTGCTATAAAAAAAATTCACTGACACCCTGCAAAGAACGGCTCAGAAAAATGATGTAAATAAATCACTGTAAGCATAGATACTTCAATTAATTCATTTTTTATCGTTTTATAGCTTCTGGTGTAGGGGAGTGGTAGGAGGCCGTGCTATTTTCTCTGATTAAAAGCAATTTTAGTCTTGTAAATGTAAAATCAGTGCTAATATTGTGAAGTGCTTTGCATTAAAAGCGTTTTATGATATTCTAAATCTTTAAATCAGTATAATATTGTGAAGTGATTAGTAATTATGAAGTGCTAATGTAAATGTTTCTCAAAATAATAAAAATTTTCTCCACCAGAAAAGAACCATTTCTAATAAACAAGGGAGCCAAATCTTTCAGTTTGTGAACTAGTATATGTATAATGTAAAAATCTCCTATGTTTTTACTGTGCTTTGATACATATGAGGAGATATCACACTTTTTTTTTAATACTGAAGATCAACAGATATAATTGTCTTAAAATAGTTCATTCTGTAAAATAAATCATTTCAATGATCTAATTACACAATATTTCTGAATTTTAATGTGTAGAATGATAATTGGCAACCTAAGTTTCTATTTTGCATTTTGACTCATGAATTTATCATGTACATATATTTGTATGTGTATAGGTACAGAAGGAGCTGGATAAATGGGGACTGGGCTTAAAACCAGAACTTGTCACTCTTAATGGTCGAATTTTATCGTATGAGAAAATTGTACAAGAGAATGGCAAATATGAACCCAGTCAACTTGTTGATTGGACACGAGACATGAGGAGTAAGTTGAAATGTTTACTTTCACTATTGAGTATCATTTACGTTAATCTTATGTAACAGTAGAAATCAATTAATTCATTTCACAATAATGGTTAATTATCTATCCAAGTAGTCATTAATATCTAGAAATATATGAGAAGTCTGCACTCAATGCCAATCAGTACAGAGGGCCATTGCCTTATATGACCCCAAGCTACATGAGTGACCAACTCTTGCCTCGTGCTACTTGTAGGCACCTCTAATAGATTAGCCAGTGCACGCAGAGAATGTCTACATGAAACATTACCCAATAGAAGCATGTTTTGTCTTGGCAACATTTGATAATGATATTTTTGTCATAGATGTCAAAGTAGGTCATGCTATGTGGGACCTGTTATCTGATTATCTAAATTTTCTATTTATTTTATTTGGTTATTATGAAGTAATAAAATACAATGAATATAGATATTATAGTTATGCAGTAATATTAAAGTAGTCGTTCTGCAGCAGTGATGCTTTTTCTAGCGTTCTCTTAAAAGTCGTGTGGCTATTTGTGTCACTGGTTGTCACATGGGGATACCTGGCTTCCCTACACTTTCTTTCTAATACCACTAACAATTATTGTTGTTTCCCAATTTATTCTTCATGATATTCAAATTCAGACTGTTGCAACAGTGATATGAAAACTAAAAAACAGTTGAAGGTACAAAGAAAATATGTAGTTTTGTGTTTTTTAAACAATCAGTAAACAATATTCTCTGTAAAGTGAGGTGAAAAAAAGCAATTTCATTAACTGTATCTCCTCTTATTATTATAAATGTTACGTCAATTTGATACTACAGTGAATTTGTTTTATGATTTTAATTTAAATGTAATCGACAGTGAAGGTCGTACATATATATCTGGAACATTGTAAAATGTAAAGGGATATTTCTATTGATAGCTCTGTGAAAGTATAACGACGGTAATTGTCTAGTGCTAATTGGCACTTGCTTGTGGGTCACGGTCCAGCTACACTACAGCTAAACAGCAAGTAGAAAGTTCTATCGTATTTCATTTCTCAAAATCCCACTTGGAAACTACCAGACTTGTGGGGAATACAATGATGTATTTTCAAAATTTTTATTATTATTTTAATTACTGAAAAAATTTAAACAGTTAAAATAAAACAAGTAAAGAATATGAGTTTAAAAAAATTAATGGAATTCAATTCGTATTTCAAATGAAATACTATCTTTTTTTCTTTAATGTTGCAAAATATTACATCTGTCACAATTGCAACACAAATTACAAACTTTATACTTAAGCAATGTGAGAATTTTTTCAAAACTTTTGAAAGTTAACATAGTTTTGAAAAAATCTTTGGGAAAAAATTAAAAACATTCATACTATCACAGTTCTTTGATAATGTAATATTATTACTCTTAATATCAATGACACAGCAAAATTGTAAAAGAACGTGGGGTTTATCTTATATAGGAACGCAGTGTTGTAATATCCCTTGCTTGGGACCTTTGCTATGAGTGTGTTAAATATGATTAAATTTCTTGAAATTTGCCCAGTTTTCTTTGACAGTAGCATAGGGCTCTCATCAATATGTCATGTAACAAGCCAGGAGTATTCAAACACACTTGCTAACAAAGAGTATTTTATACAATTAATATGAATCAATAATAAAATAATTATTTTCAATTAAAATAATTATATGAATTGTCAATTTAAATTAATTATATGTAATTAATTTATATCAAATCCATACAAATATTGCATAATATATAAATGCATTTTAAAATCAAAAGAGCTCGCATAATTTACTAAAAATATAAATAATTTATGAATAGTGATATGTGACATTTCAAATTTACAGGTCGCACTCTCTTAGTGGTGCCTCGTCTGAATTGTTGGGCAATCATTTTTCAAGCCAAAGCCAGGAGAGATGTTGAACCATTCATTAAATCTCTAATTACAGCCTCTAGAGGCATGGGCTGGAATCTACCTGAACCAGAACTGTAAGTTGGTATGATTATTTGCAATTAAACAATAAACAAGCAACTGACTAAATTAAAAAACAAAAACTATTGACACTATGGACTGCAGTGCTTATTATTCTTCATACATTACACTATAAGAATACAGTGGGAAATGAAAAATATTTATGAAGGTCAATGAGTGAGGAATAGTAAAGGGTTAAGTTTTCTTTCATTCATTTGTAGTGAAGAAAATATATATCAATCATATTTTTCTTTCTCAAATGCTAGAGGGTTGAGGAAGAAAACGTTTTCAACTTGTGACCTCACATAGATATTCACACAAAAAAAATACCAATAGCAACTCGTCATCTTCTTTGTACTTTACATGGAAAATTACTGTTTTACTCAATAGGACAAAAACAATCATATGTTGACAGTGTTGGGCTTCCGGATGATAGAAGTGGAACATATGTGCAGTCCATTGAAACTTCAATCCAGAAAGTAAACCCAGATCTTTTAATGCTCATTGTTCCTAACAACAACAGTGCTCGATACAGTAGCATTAAAAAGAAATGTTGCTTGGATCGAGGTGGTAAGTATCATGCTCTATTTGCATGATTTTCTGTGTTAGTGTATTGCTGAACATTAATTCTAGAAAGTATGAGAAGTTTCATCACCATAAAGGTGTAAAGTGAGACCAGTGAACTCATTGATGGGTACACTAAATATGTCTTTCTGAAGCATCATATTTTTCTAGAAAAGGGAAGCATGATTAGAAAAAGTATACTATCCATTCCATTTTAATTATGCATAATACTATGTTTAGTTGAAGTATTTTAACATGGTTTAAAGTATAACAATTTTATGTTTCTTCATAAAATTTTAGACATTTTCTATGATTGGTTCAATGATACCTGATTTTTCTCACTAGAGCGCATATGCTGAAGAAGAAACATCTAATCTTTGATTCTGGAGAAATTTAATGCTCTGTGTATCCAAATCCTAGGCAACTGTTCAGTTTAAGAAAGAAATTACATATATTTTCTAAAATTACAGATTCAGACCTAATTTGATAAGATCCATATCCCACTTTATTCTCCTTACTGGGATGGTCTACCTAATATGATGTGGAACTGCTGTCTTTGTGATTTGGCACTTCCTCCTGGAGTAGATTTTCACTGCCGTATAATGCATTTGTTACACAATACTTCTTAAAGCTGTTTGTAAACGGTTCACTGCTCATTCATGTCCAAGCAGTCTGGATCAATTTTGCAATTAGAGACAGTGAAAGCTAGTTCAACTTGCCAGTATGGGTCAAGGTTGGATCACCTTGAAGGAAACAATTGCTATATGGCTGTTTTCAGGTGGTCCTCTGAGAGTAAAAGACGTCATACACAATACATTCAAATTTAATAACAACCCTATCTCAATTGGTGAACAGCTTTATCCAATTGAACAATGATATCCTCTCTATTGAGAGTTAATATGCTCCAGACTCTTCTTGAAGGAGTCATCTGCCATGGGTGAAACACAACTGTTGACAACCCTGTTGAAGAGGAGGTGCTTCTGAGCTCCTGTCCTCACATTCTCCTGAAGCTTCAGGTGTCTTCAATGATCATAATGAAGATACCATTTAAGTTTTATTTGTATTTGCTATTTAGGACTCCAAATGTTTCAACAATTATATATCTATTGCATTTTTTTTTTAATATTTTTTTATTTTTTTTTAAAAAAAGCTGTATTTAATATTTTGAAGTGTTTCCTACTGCATATTTTGTGACTTGCTATTGTAATAACTACATTTAGCTTCATAAGAAATAGTTCCAATAATTAATCTAGTATACAAATCTTAGTATTTTTTTTTTATTTATTTATTTTTTTTTTAGTTCCATCACAAGTGGTTGTTAATCGAAGTGTAACAGGGAAAGGTGTTATGAGTGTGGCAACAAAAATTGCTGTACAAATTTGCTGTAAGTTGGGAGGTGCACCTTGGAGTGTAGAGATTCCATTGACAGGGCTAATGGTGGTTGGTTTCGATGTAAGTCCTGATACAGCAAAGAAAGGACAAAATTTTGGAGCTCTTGTAGCATCTGTAGATCCAGCTTGCACACGATATTTCAGCACTGTAAATGCATGTGCTTCTGGTGAGGAACTCTCAAATCATTTGGCCATCAGCATGATCAGTGAGTATCTTTGATCCACATTTGTGATATTGATAGATTTTTGATATATTTATTATTTATGATGAGAAGGAAAAAGAAATGTACAAAAATTGTCTCAGTTATCCAAATTAAATATTGTAATTGCCTAAAATAATATTTAAAATGGTATTAAATTTCTAGAAGCCCTTCATAAATATCGAGAACACAATAATGGGCAACTTCCCAATCGAATTGTGATCTATCGAGATGGAGTGGGGGAAGGAATGCTTCCGTATGTGTGGGAGATTGAGGTGCAAGGAGTTAGAGTAAGTGACAGATTCTGTTCTTTCCTTCTTTTTGTCTAATTTTTATGATTGATTTTTGATATTATCCTTGTTTGTCACTTATTATTTTAAGAGACTGTTGATATGCTTTTTCTTTAATTTGGGAACCAAAAAGGAAAATAATATAAGGGATATAAACATAAGTTAAAATTAAGTCTCCAGTCATTCTTTGCAAAGAAAGGAAGAAGGGAGCTTCATTTGGAAAGAAATGTGTGTTACTGAGCATGTATGTTTTATTTTCAAGCAATCTTTCAAAATGTTTCACACTTTTCAACTTTCAAACAACAGACATATTTGAATGCATTGCCCAAGCTCACTTATAATAGTCATGAGTACACAGCAACACAGTTTGATTAGTTTGATTCCATTCTCTGTAGTACGAGGGTGATCTGAAAAGTTCTCAGCCTGATAGGAAATTGAAAATTTATGTGTACAAAAGTATTTTTATCTCCCTTAACACTAATGCACTTCATCCACCTGTGCTCCAATGCCTTTATTCCATCTCTGTAGTGTTTTTCTGGAAGTGCTACCAAATCCCCCCTACAGCTGCAATGGCTTCTTCATTGGATGAAAAACAGTCACCAGCGAGGTAGGTTTTGAGAGCAGATTAAAGTTTGAGGGAGCAAAATCTGGGGAATACAATGGATGTTCCAGCACTTCATAATGCAAATCCATTTTCCCATTGTCAAGACACTTTTGTGGGTAGGTACATTTTCCTGATGGAAGATAATTTTTGCTTTGGAAGAGCAGGTCTCTTTTCACTAATCTTCACATCAATGGTCTTTAGCAGGTAAGAATAGTATTCCCCAGTTATTGTTTTATTTTTTTGAAGAAAATCAATAAAGATAATACCTTTCGAAAGAAATGTCTAAACAAAACAAATACGCATTGCAGTAAATACAGAAAAGTAGTCTATGGATTGTGCAGAGCAGTAAAGAAGGTAATTTGCTCATCATGCAAATAAAATGTAAATTTTGGTGATTGTATTAGGGTATACTAACCATTATATAATATTTATTTATTTGCATCTAAACAGATAATTGCCCAACATTACAGGTTTATACAATATTTATAATTTGATACTGAAAATAATGAATATATAAAAATACATTTTAATTGTAATCACAGAGATAATGTGTCTTTGTATTCATTAATATGTTCATATCACAGTTATTATAGTTTTTGCATATACGCCAAATAGGAGAATAATAATTCAAATTAGTTCTCGATAAAGGTATAAAAAATGTATCATTTTAATTAAATCGGGGGTTATGCAATGGTATTTTCCAATCGATCAAAGATAATAGTTTGCTACTGTCAATATCCTGATTTAATAATTTGAATAGAATTAAGACGTTATTACATTTTCTGTGTGATTCAAGAGAACTAATTTGAAGATATAGTGAAATTTCACTGTAATCATGGTTTAATCTTGGTGATGGTAATTTAAGAAACAAGCTGCTAAATTTAAAAAAATATGTTGTACTGATTCAATTCTCTTTTTGTATGCATCATAACAAGAAGACCAGTTTTGTGAAGAGTACATAAGTATTGATTGCACTATTGTTAAATAGAAAGTTCTAATTGTAGTAGAGTTTCTAAAGCGAGTTGCAGTTCTCATGTCTATCAAATCTCATTTTTGGATCGAAAATAACTCCAAGATATTTTATTTCATTGACAGACTCAAGTATCACTCCATCAATAGAATATTAAAGTTTAATTGATTCGATTCATAAACATCATTTTGGGTTATCTCAATGTTACCAATACCGAAGGCAGAAGTGTGAACAACGTAATTGACATTAGTAGATTGGTTATCATTATAATTACTATATATGGATTGGAAGTAATCAGCAAAAATATCTACCATTTTTTGAGGGATGACAGCTGTTCCATTGGCGTCGAAAATATATTTTGGAATACCATTTGTGTTTGTATTTTTGATTGTTAGTAAATTTCCAGAATGACTTTATATTAGATGGAATAGAATTTTCAATATTTATCGCGTAATGAAGATGAGATTTTAATTTACATTTTTTGCGTAATTCAGAAAATTTACTATAATCTAAAGGATCATATGTAAATTTGTATTTAGAGTGAGCTTTAGACTTTTCGTTTAACATTAATTTCAATTCTTTAGAGTACCAAAGAAGGTATTGATGAGCTTTTTTATTAGCAATAAAAAAATTATTCTGGTTATAAAATTAGTACAATTTTATGTAGAAGGTGAATTATATACAGGGATCAAAATGACTGCATCGGCGGTTTTAAATGATATGCATGGTTCCTGCAGTTCTGGTGTTAAAATGTACTGAGCGTTGTCAGAAAGTTTCGTGCGAATGCATTTTTGATCTGCTGTCAGCGGACGCGGCACCCATTATTTGCACAGCTTTCTCATATGCTATTCTTCTTGCAAAATGTAGCCTGCAAACTTCTTTGAAGTTCCTATTCTCTCATCAATTTCAAGCACCGTTGTACGCCGATGTTTCAGGACCATATCATTCATTTTTTTTGATAATTTCTGGTGGCGTTCCACTTTTTAGTTGTCCCTCACGTGGATCATCTTGGATGCTGAAATGGCCCCGTTTAATCTCAGTCACCCATTTCTTCACAGCGGAAAATGAAGGACAAGAGTCATCATGTACCATTAACATCCTTGGATGAATTTCGGTCTGCATCAAATCATTCAAACACTGTACCCAATTCAAACACATGTTAAGAGCCAACCGTTGGATGGAATTATTTGAAATTTGAAATAAAACCTTCTGAATGTTGTACTAACTTTTGGGCAAAAAAATCATGCGAGTAGCTCTTTGATCTGTGGGCAAGGCTAAGAACGTTTCAGACCACCTCCGTATATATTATGTATAATGTGTTTTCTCTTCATGCAAGTAGTAATCAACTCTAAATTTTGTAATTTTACTTTCTCGTATATGTACGTATATACTGAGCAATATTTTATAGTATAGAGAAAGTTATGTAATGCTGTGGAAAATTGATTTCGAGATTTCAACATGAAATACACGTTTTGGGGTCCCCTGATGTCGAAAAAGTGTTTCAAACGTCAGTCTGTCCATCTGTCTGTAAAGTGGTAGTGCCTAAACCATACATACGCGTTTTTCCAAATTGAAGAAAATATGTTGATCTGGCTCGAGTCAAAGTTTTCAGACTTTGAAAAACATTCGTTAACTTTTGTGGTACTTTACACGAAGCCCCCCAGACTTTTCAAAATTTTCTCGAAAACTGCTCTGAATTTTTTCTTTAAATTTCTTGTAAAAATAAAGTTAAATACACTTATAAAGGTAGCATAGGTTCTATTTTTAGGTTTAACATTCAATTTTCAAAAATTTCAAGTTCATATTTATTCGGTGACTTCCTACAACTACAAAATTGAAGATATGAAATTTTTCCTTCAGATGAAATTTGTTGTATGTAATTAGTTCTTTGATTAATTTCATTTACAATTTTTGAAACTTTTAGTCGTTTTTGCACAATATTGCCTTGAATTTTTATCAGTATTAAAAAGTAACAGAAACCAGATTTACTCGAAAAGGCTCCAAATTTTTTCTCTAAACTTTTGTTAGGGATAACGCTATTTTGCTCTATTCTATTTTTTTTTTTTTTTTTCTTCAAAAATTACAAAAATGTAGTTTATATGACTCGTCTCTTACGTTGTTAATATTTATACTAGCTGTGATTTGTCCACATTATTGAAAATAGAAGTAAATGTGCTCTAAATGGTGTGTAATAAAGTTCTCTAAAAACATAGTTTTCCGGGAAAACCAGCTCAACATTTCGCATTTTCAGAAGCCCTCAAACATGAATTTCTCAACGGCTCCAAATTTTTTCTTACATTTTTTCATTCAGTTTGTGCTTATTACACTGTTTAGGATAATTTGTAATTAATTTCTCTTTATTCTTTTGTTTCTTTAAACCATACAAACGTATTTTTTTATAATTTCTCTCACACCATTAATATGAAAAATTCCACCATTTTGTATACATTATTGCATTTGAGAGTAAAAGTTGTTCAAATGACTGCAAATGAAGTTTTTCGAAAATACAAAAGATTCCTGTGAAAAGGAGCTTCTTATTTCGCATTATACTCCAGCTTAAACGCCATTTTCTTAAAAACAGCTCCAAATTTTTCACTAAAATTCCCATATAGGACGGGTTTTAATTTTTTTTCTATTTTAAAAGTTATATTTCAAATCTACTGTTAAAATAGTGACAAAATTGACCAAAAAAAATTTGTATTTTGGGCAGTGACAGTACTATGAGACAGTCTGTGTTTATCTGTAGCACCACTAGTTTCATTTTCATCTTGAAATTGACTAGTAAAAAACAGGGAGGCTTGCCAGGTTTTTTAAGAAGTTTATAAGTTTTAGATACATATTTTAATGAAGCAATATCTATTTCTTCTTGAAATAAAAGAATTTTACATTGTGCATGTCAGTACTAATTTTCATTTCAGTCTTCTTTGCTTTTCGTGAATAAAAACTACATTCTACAATGAAACTATAAGTTTGTATTATCCTGATAATTTGTTTCTCTGCTATCTAGCGTCGACTTGAAGAGATTTTTAACAAATCAGGAACTGCTCTTCATATGGCTTTTATTGTGGTGACTAAGCGCATCAACACTCGTCTCTTTATGAAGGGAGACAATCCAGCTCCAGGTACTATTGTTGATGATGTCGTAACTCTCCCTGAAAGGTTAGTTGCTCTTTTTTAACTATTCACTTTCATTAAACTATTGAATTACTTTAATTTATTTTTATAATAAGTATAACGATTCTTTTAATAAACTGAATTTTTTTTTCTCCGTGACAGATACGACTTCTTTTTGGTTAGTCAGTCTGTTCGACAAGGAACAGTGGGACCTACGAGCTATCATGTTCTTTATGACAATTTGGGGTTGGATCCAGATAAATTACAGCGCCTTACTTACAAAATGACTCATCTTTATTACAACTGGAGTGTGAGTACTGAATCTTTGATGGGGTTTTAGTGTGAAAATATGCAACAGTGCCAATCAGTGGTCAAAAACATTTAACAACAGAGTCGCATTTTAAGATCTCCTGAATGTTTTAGAAAATTAACTTTTTCCTTAAAAATATATTAAATATTGTTAATTTCTGTCTTATTTCCCCCTTTATTAATTTTTATTTACACTATTTTTCGGTCACATGTGTCTTTAACTCCTGTTAAGATGCAATGCTACAGGTTTGTTAAGGCTAAATGTACCGAAAAATACTTGCAGGAAAATTCAATAGATCGCTGCAGCATCACAGGAAATTTACTTTACCAATAATGTCTGAACCAATTGTCCAATTTTTAATCTGTAGACAGCATTGACTCCTTTGAAAAATAGAATTTACGCTACGAAGCTCTTTTACCAAAAAAGTTTTCAAATTGCTCTCATAGTTTCGAGATGAAATAAAAAAACTATACACTAATGGAGCGATGACGACAGGCTCCCTGAATCCAACGCTGTGTCAATCATGCAAATCGGATGAATAGGAGCGTCGTAAAGTGAAATTTGGAAAAACACCTCACCTCACTCCCCCTTCCACTCCAGTGCATCAACCCGCCCGTTGTGAGTCCGCAACGCGGCTGGCGGGAGGATAACTTTCAGGCAGGTGATAGGCAGCAACCAGGCAGGTGGTATAAAACAGGCGTTTTTTTTAAAAGAATATGAAAAAATTACCTACTGTACCTGCAGATAGCAATGTGCAGAATCAGCCATTTTATACAGTTCTAGAGGGAATATTAATAATAATTAATATTTTATTAATAATGATAAATTATGCTTTCGCCACTGCATCTCAATATATTTATTCCCCACATATCAAACTAGTGATGCTGTAACAGAGGCAAACAGTCTCTTATCGTCCATAATATTAGTATAAGACTATCTTCTTCAAATATTTCTGTTTTCCAACGAATACTATCATAAAATTGTTTGAAGCATTACTCAAAATATCTGTAATTTCGGGATTATCTGAAATATCTGGATTTGCAAACTGACCTCAAAAATAAAATTGCACAAATCGTGCAAATATCACCAATATTCCACTTCTTCACATCTTATTGTAGATATAGACCTATTTTACTCCAAAGATTTTCCATTATTATTGCAATACCGGAAAGAGTAAGAAAAGATTATGCACGAGCTTTGATCATTTTTTGATCTCAAAACAGCATTTGTCTCCTTGATAGAATTCACATTATGAATCTGTTTTCCCAAGTAAAATAGCCGCAGCTAATTTTAACTAAGTGTGCTGCAGAATGGCACAGACTTTTCTGTATTAGGTCTCTATTCTGTTAGTTTGGGCTAGCTATTCTGACTTACTTCTTTGCGAAGTATCATATTTGAATATTTTATAATATGTTTTCGTATGTGGCGTGCCAGTTTATAAAAGTTATGTTCTTGTCTTAGACCACGTTGTCGAAGTTAAAGATCTTCCGCGAAGATTTCCGTTTTCACCAGTAACCTTCTGTCTTGATGTTGAAGTTCCGTTCACTTTAATGTCTTAAATCCGATGTTAAATATCTTACAATTTTCACATAATTAATTATTTATGAATGCCTCAGGTGAACACCCCTTCTCAAGACTGTTTTCATTCACAACAGTTTAATGTTCTAGCTAGCTTTACATGTGCTCGCATCAATGACCAAATGTCTTCTCCCAAAATCATGACATTGGGGCAACATGTCATATTCATTTTTGTTTTTTTCCCAAATTGTTCTTATTAACTTTTTTATTCGCTGCAACTCGTTTCCCGATGATCAATTATTTATGAGTACACGTGCTTTAAATAGTGTAGAGTTTCTAAAAAATGACCGTTTTGTGTGAAAACTGGTCAAATTTCTTCATTTTCAGAAACGTTCAAACATCATTTTCTCAAAAATGGATGGTGCTAATTGTCTTCTTTAACATGACATGAAGTTCATTCTGGGATATTTTTTGTTTTTCCAAAAATTACACAAATGTAATTTTTTTAAAGATATCTCACGCTGTTTATTTGCACATTTCCAGCAATTTGTAAACACTATTGTATTTGTGAGTTAAAGTGCTTTAAATAACTTCTAATGAAATTTTTTTAATATTCTTATAATAATATTTCAGTTCTACTATTAGAAAATTGAGAAAATTTTAAAAAATGCACTTTGGGCAGTGATAGATGGCATTTGGCAAGAATATATTGAAAGCTCAAATAGCTAGACAAGATGACAGGAAATAGAAAACAACTATGGGAAAGTCTGTGCCTTTCTGTAGCACCACTAGTTAAAATTATCTTCGGTTATTTTATTTGGGAATCAAATTAACCATGTGAATTCTATCATCATTCGATCATTCATCTCTCATTCATTCTCATTAAATGAAACTATATGTTTGTTCAGATAATAATGGCAATTGTTAAGAGAACTGAAAACTTGCACACAAAAACAGGTGAAGTACCTTTTTGTACAAATTGAGATATACACTTTTGATCATAGAGACTAAGTAAAATTGTAATAGAAAATTTATTTGTTTATAATTTTTATCACAAAGTAGAATAAGTTCGTAACTTTACTGTAATGCAATGTGTAACTATTTGAAATATTTCCTTATAAGACAGGTTCCCAAACTGTAAATATCTATACCTAGTTGTAATCAAAACATCGATAAGTGGATCATCACTCACTAACTGGCTGTTGACTTTTGAAAACCTGTTTAAGTGATGGTGGACTGGAGGTAAATAATCCAACAATTCTAATATCTCTGAAATTGTTAGGTTTTACGTGCCACTTCCATTTATTTTTCTGTGGGAACTCTACACCACCAAGTGATGGCCTACTTATACCGTTTTAGTTCCTTATGTTAACTGAATCTAATTTTTTGATACAGCCTGGAATATTTTTAAAAAATATTTAAAACGTTCATCTTCTTCCATAATTTATACAGGAAATCTTACTTAATGAAACCTTTTGTTTTTCTGATACATATATGATAACACTTTTACTATCATGAATGGATTTCTAAGCCTAGACATCCTCATGCAACTCAATCCAGTCGTCAGGAACAAATATAAGGCACTGATCATTTCTTCTTTTCACAGGGAAGATACATTTGACCAGGACTAAGGCTTTTCTGCTCTAAGATATCAAAATTTTCTCTCTGACCTAAGTATGATCAGTTCCTTAGATTATTTGAGAAAAACTAACTATGATAATTCATACAATAAGTTATGTTGTGACGTGGAAAGACCATAGCACCATCGCAACAAATGTCAGTTAGCCTGATTTTACTATTATTCCCGTGTTTGTTAAAATCACAATTAATTCAAATGCCACTATTGTCATAGATTATTCTTTGTTGACGATTGTCCACCTCTCAGAAGATAGTTTTTATCCTTCACAAAAGATGGCAGCACACTCAGCTTTTACAAATTTGTTGGTTAACCCATGTTTGCATGTGTGGCTTCAATTGCTTGGTGTACTTCGAATTGCTAATATTTACTTTTGATTGAGATTTATGTTACACATCTTAGTAATATTTTCACTTATCAAATGCTTCCTTTGTTTATTGATTGTTTTGCAGCTACCTATTATCTAAGCTAAGAATTTGCTGTCATAAGATAAGAACTCAATTGTGGCAACTGCAATTCTTGAAAACTATTCAAAACATTTGCAAGCTTTTTGAAGCTTTGAAAATTTGCAAGATATTTCTGAAGCAAATTGCTTCAGAAATATACATTTTTTTTTTTTTTTTTTTCCCCACAAAAAAATGACCAATATCTATCTCTTTTCTGAGAATCAGAATATTCTCATTAGCATTTTGCTTGTTTCAGGGGACAGTGAGAGTTCCAGCTGCTTGCCAATATGCTCACAAGTTAGCTGTGCTGACTGCTCAAGCTGTGCACCAGCCATCTCACAAACATCTTGAAGATGTTCTTTTTTTCCTATAATGAAATTTCATTCACTGTAATTTTACAGTGAATCATATTATTATATGAAGAGTATTATATTATAGTAACTCTTTTTAAAGCAGTATCTTTATAAATTATATATTTGTTGACTTCATATAAAAAAGTCTTAAGATTCTTTTTTAAGCATACTACTTGGATTTTTGGTAGGTACTCTATTGTTCAAGTGTTTTTGGTTTTAGATTTGATGTTGAAAGTAATTAGATCATGTTTGTACTTTTTTATGGTGTTATGTAATCTTGTTAATACAATTTGTAAATTGTTGGTATAAAGATTGAACACCTACGTTTTGTGATGATATGATCTTTTCCTGCCAATGTGTAAACATTGTAGATGCATTTCTTCCTAACTGCAGACTGATTTATTGAGACTTTCTTATTCTTCAATGACAGAACTGTCTCTGTTGCTTTCTTGTGCTTAATCAGCATCACTTTTCAGTCATCAGTTTTGACTTGTTTACTAGGTGTGATTCTTTTAACTTTTAAGAATTTGACATCAATTTAAGAATTGCTAGAGTTTGTTTTTATTTTGACTTAGTTGTATATGTATTCTTTGAAATAAACTAATGCATTTCATTTACACCAAATTTATTATTATTATTAATTATATATATATTTTTCAGTAAAGCAGAGTGAGAAGTGCTATAGTTTGTTATTATTTTCACTTAATTTTACTTGTATTTTAACAAATAAACTAATACTTTTTACTTTCACCAATAATTTATAATTATTGATGAAATATTTTTTTCAGTAAATTCATCTACCCATTTTACAAACAACACTTAATTTTAAAATAATTAAAAAAGTGGAGAGAGAAAATAACTGAAATGTATCATATTCATGAACTCGTATGTGGTATGAGACATGTATGTAAATGGCCACCTCAATCAGAAGAAAGCACTCTACTTTTTGAAGCAAAATGGTTTGTGGGTCACTGATACCGAAAAACTGATCTAGGGGAACACAGCTAAGATTTCCTCCAATTGATTTGGCTATGTTGCGGGCCCATCAATTTAAAAACTATTTTTTGGGTACATTTTTTAAAAAATGTGTTCTAATTGATTTTTATTATATTTTTTTATTGCCGTACAGCGAAATTGACGTTTGAGAGAATGTTGCAAGTCTCATTTTCGTGTAAATGCCCAATTTTTTTTTTTGAAAATTGCAAAAATTTTTTTTCGTCTTTCTATAACAAGGCAGATTTTGAAGTAAGATCATGTACAATTTTTCGAAAAAGTTAGTTTTTGCGTTATTTTGCATGAAATGTAGGCAATTTTATTATTATATTTTAAAGTGCACTTCTTCTTTTTTTTTTAAATTCCTCGTGTAAATCAAAGGACGGTAATAAAATGGTGCTATTCTTATTTCTGGCGAATTCCATTTTCGGAAATTGGGGGGGGGAACAAAAACAAACGAAATTTCCTGGCTTTGGCGCCTTGTCAGTGCACAAAATGGCAACACGTTGATTTCAAATTACATTCGACTGCTCATCAGTGGCGGGTGGTGCCCCAAAATCCTCGAGGTTGCACCTCCTGCGCACGTGGTTCTGGCTTTGATTTTTCTTCCAGCACATTGCTTCGACACATTTCACATAAAAAATTATTTTATTTCAAAAATTTCTATACCATGGTATATTTTGTAACAAAAATCTTTCCACACAAACACACGCTTATTCCCACCAAAGATCACCGTGCGTAAGAATTCAAGTGGGCATAGTGAATTTAAATTAAAACAAATTCTCCAAACATAAATAATGTATTAAATGCCGTTAATAATTGACTGTAGTTATGTAATTCTAATAAAAAGCGAAATTCATTAAATCACGTTGCAGAGAGTCAGACGAAGAAAGACTACCTCCGTCGCCGCACAGCGCTATTCAGCGCCACCCATCCGGTTGCATTACCAAAAGGCTCTATGTTCCCCGTGTTAAATCAAAGAGCCAGAGTAAATGCAGTAAACCCAGAAATACCAGGACCTTGCAAAGCACCAGACGTCGGAGTGAGCGCCAGTTGGACGTTCTTTAGTTTCAAAACGATTTCATGAACGTTGATATTGCTGCAACATCTTGAATACTGAATGTCATTAAAAGGAAAATGTACAATACAAAGATAGATCTTTTTCGATTATCTGGGGGTTGTGCAACCTGAGCACGAGCCGCTGACACTGCTACTTATTATTGCCGGTCTTGATCGTATAATGTACGTAAAATTCTTACGAAAGGAAATAGATTTAAGGAAGATATTCAGGAGAAGGAAATCAGAAGTTGAATTTGACGTTACCACAGCACGATGGATAAACGTGTATTAATGGAACTGCCAGAGTATACATGAGAAGTACTGAAGTTTATGGTCACCCATGGACAGGCATCGCCTAACATACTTGAAGCTAGAATAATTCTGAAACAGATAGATCAAAACTACGTTTGCAGATCGAAGAAAGCACTCTACGGTTTAAAGCAAAAGGGTTGTCAACGAAGAGTTTATTAAATTCGGAATGCAACCTTCTACAACTGATTCGCCTCTCTATGTAAAGGCAACTGGACACGATTTAGTAGTCATATGTGGATGATTTCTTAAGTTATTTCTAGTCAATAGACTGTTATTGATCATTTTTACAAATTCTTTAGAAATTAAAGATTTGGGCGAGGCTAAATGTTGCTTAGGAATGGAATATTTTAGAAGCAATCGATGTTTATTAGAAGAAATATATCAACGATGTACTGTGCCGGTTTGGCTTGTCGGAGTGCAAACCCGTCGCTGCTCCAATTGAATCTGATACAAAATGACGGGGAAAAGCCTCCATACAGGCAGCTTATAGGTGCACGTATGTCAGTACAATGTAAAGTTTGGGAAAAATCATTGGTAAGCGGCAAAAAGGGAACTCGCTGAGGGAAAGGATATTTGAAGGGTACTATCAATCTACGTATTACCTACGAACGCAATAAGGAGACAAAAAAAGCCATTGGATTGATCGATGGCGATTGGGCATCATGTATTCAGGATTTTTAAAATGACAGCGGTACCAGTATCCTGGAAATCAAGGAAGCCATGAACAATGGCGTTGTCATCGACTGAGGCGAAATACATGTCCTTGGCGAAGCAACCAAAGAGGCCATGTTTACTTGGCAACGGATATAGGCGCCGTGATACCTTCAACTGTTCATTCACCGGAAAAGCTGATGAACGACAATATTGGTGAATAGCCAAAAATCCAGTTTTCCATTCGAGAACGAAACATATTGACATTCATCACTTCGTTCGAGGTGCTATTGTCTGGAGAGATAGAAATAGTCTACATGCCGACAGACCAAACGCCAACCCACATGTTAACAAAATTCTTAACGAAACCAAAGCGGTGAAGTTGCTTACAACGCGTCGGCATGAAATAACTTCGAAATTCAAAACCGAAGTTGTGGAATTGTTTGCGACTCATCGGGTTCAAGCGATACCGAGATCTGCAGTCGTCCGGTTTTTGAGGGGGGCTATTGAGGATATATTTGTACATCCGCCGGTTATGCTCAGACCTTACAGAGCAACTGATTGTGCCACGATCGTTGTATATTAATGGTTGAGAAACGGGAGTGACCTGCGACGTCGATAGGCCGTAGGAGCGGCCGCAGAAACTTTGCATGCGTACGTTCACAGGGGACTCACGCACGCAATGAATGAGCGGTGCCTCAGGGAAAGGAGGAAGGGAAAACGGAAGTAGTGGTTCCAGGAGAAGAACTCAGTTTTGATTTTGGCTGCGAAATATTGAGTGTGCGCATGCCAGCGTAGTCCGCTGTCAATAAGCACGCAAATATCTCGCTTCGCTCCGCCACGGGAGACGCGCGCCCGTCAAGCTTATTATTTTTCTGGGGTCTGCCCACTTACGAATAAAGTCGGCAGGCTGCCACTAACTCGGAATAATGATAGTAATAATAATAAATGAAGGGGAAAGAGCGTCGTATCAGTTGAGTGCTTTAAGACGCCCTACATAAAAATTACACTAATTAACAAGACAATACGATATCAGACTGAAAAACATCACAAAAATTGGAGTGAAATCGAATATTCGCTTTAGATTGCCCTCGAAAGATAATGCAGTGCGCACGTGAGGACAGTAAAATGCGGCAACAATGCCTCTGCCACGGCCCGAGTGTTAATCATAAAGATTGATACAACGTTTAGAGCGTGGATGAGTTTCGAGTTATAAAGATGTGAGTGAGAAAGCTTCGAGTTGGAGAGGTTTTATTTTGGATGTTCAAGTCAAAGCTACAGTTTATTAGATTCGAGTTAATTTTTCTTATTGAAGATCTTAGCAATGTATTAATTGAGTTTTAGTATTTTTAAGTTTAATAATGAAAGGGATACAAAATAGTATTATTTATTGGCTTGAAGTGGCCATAAAGAATTCGAAAGGTTCGCTCAACCATAAAGAATCCGAAGTGTCCGCGATGGCAGGGGCACCCAGAAAGAGGGGCAGCCATTTTCCTCAGGTTCCGACTTTGTTGAGGCCCCGAAAATTATTTTCTTTTTAATCATAAAAATATATTTACATTTAATTCAAATTAACCGTTATATATTCTTATGTTGCATCGAGAGATGAATTCTGTTTTGTATGTGGGAGGAGGGTTGTTCATTCCAAATACGGGGTCCCCGTTCCCCAGGCCCCTCCTTTTCATTGAGAGCTTCTGCGCAAAAGAATAAAGTTTACGACGATGTGTTTCGTGCCAGGTTTATAAACACAGTTATGAACTTGAGTAACATACAGTATATTATTCCTTCTCTTCAGAAACTTCTCAACATTTTAAACTCTGCGTTACTTTGCGTTAAATACGCGAGTTTGCCATGACCCACCGCCCATTCGAACTTCCCGGGAAGTTTCTTTTGAAGTACAACTATATAGATGGCACTAATTATTATTCATTTTTCGATTGTACAGACTCGGCCATCATTTACTAACCTTTTGTAGGAACCTTTTAGTAGAGGATGGCCATGAGACAGACCACGATGCAAACAATAATTTCCATTACGGTACAGACATTGGCAGCACCGGCATGTATTAATAACGGCCATTATACATGTATATAAATATATTCAGGCTTGTAACATACAGTAGCCTTTACTTATACTTTGTAGATAGCATACTCATAGGCAACTGTGTGGTACTTCTACTCAGCCCACGTAAGGCACAGACCTAGCCCACGTTTTTATAGAGCGGCACTGCCAGCACAGTAGTATCATATTCTAATTGAAACAGAGTGACACTTCAAGGTCAATAACTATACGGAGAGAACAATATTATCCAATCGAATGCTTTATTACGGCTTAAATTTTTGGTATTAGAGCTTCTGATTGGATAACAAATGCTCCCCTCTCCTTCCAGCTTGTGACCTTAAAGTGCCACTGTCTTTAAATATGTGTTCAGAGGCCGAGTAGCTCCAATATTTGCACAAGTAGCGTGCTTAAATTTTTGGTGCACAGAATACATACGTGCCTGTATAAGCAAGAGAGCGCGTGCTGCATGGTGCACTGTGACTTGTCAGCACCGAACCGAGGTCACTGGCATTCTGGCAAATAGTGGCAAATTTTTTCTAAACGTGTTCGCTAGGTATTTTTTAAAAGAGCGGTAGTCTCGGCAATGGAACTACAGCTGTTATAACTTGTGGTTGCGTGACGTTTTAACCAGTCGGTGTTTCATCATTCAACGATTATGTTTCTGACAATACCTAGGACGTTAAATATCACTTGTGGTATGAAATGCAAGCAAAATGCACTGTTTAACCTGCAGCTTTTAGTTGTAGGAGGTTTCAGGTGTTACAGTAAGTTAGGGTCACCGGCATCAGAAGCCCCAATGTCTTTTCATCGGAGTTCAGCCAGGAGAACGGAATCAGGTTGTGGACCACCCAAAAGTGTTTTGAGAAGTCTGACAAGCGGTCATAGTTTACAGAAACAAAACGTTCAAGGAATTCATGAAAATATATCTGCACTCCAAATGAAAAAACGTCCCATTAGGAAGAAAAGACCTCTGACTGGGAGTGAAGAAACACCCGGTGTAAATCAGTATTTTTTGTAAAGAAAAAGAAGGCGCTAGTGCTTGTTTTGATTTTTGATGTAATGTAATCACAGGGGCCTAAATAATCTTGAAAATTTTCAGTTTTGGTCAGCAATAGCGTATGCTACAGCTGAGGAGTATGATTTGGAAAAAGTGATTTCAAGTATTGTTGAACAAGAACTTTACGAGATAATGCCAGTTGATCCTAATACAGATTCTGAAATGAATGGTACATTTAACTCTTATTTATGTTTTGAATGACTATTGTTGGCATTGTATTTTCATTGCTCTCTTTTGTGTAGGCCATGAATCAGATGTTCTACGTGCAGCAGCACGTTATTCTGTTGGAAGTGAACCAAGAGAAATGTTTATTTTTCGAGAAGGAACTGTTATATTTTGGAATATGGATGAACTTGAATGTAGCAACTTATTGACTTTTTTACGGTCCTTTGAGCAAAACTGTTATGATGAACGGCTTGTAGTCTCTGAAAGTGACATCATGCCTTATTCATATGTCAAAGAAAGGTAAATGGAGCTATTTTGGCTACATTTCTTTATTATACTAGTTGATTTTTAATTATATGTTACGCCTGCTGTATTCATATTTTCTGCGGAGAAACTTGCTGCTGGTTTTATTGGTTCCTTTTTGCATGCGTTACAAACTTTTTCATAATTGAGGAACTAAACATGTGGAGCAATAGATCCAAATATATTAACAATTCTGTAATGTAACAGTTATTTTCAACAAATTAAATAAATTATTGCAGCAGAAAGCGTATAGCTCAACTACAAAAATAAACAACAAAACTAAATAAGCAAATGTGTCATTTGCCATTGTTACATAACAAAATCAAAATAGGCTCAAATCTCGCTTTTGCTCAAATGAAATAAAAAGTTTTTGATTTTGTTTTTGCGGTGTTCAGGGAAGGTAATGTCAAAAGTTCTGGTGTATAGGGAATGAGCTAGAATGAGAAATTCAACAAAACAGAAAACAGAGGTCGCTTTTTAGTTTATTGTATAATTATTTTATAAATATCTTATTCAGTCAATTGTAGCAAATAGTGTTCTTCATACAGAATTAAAGATCATTAAAATTCTATAAAAAGATTCTCTACTTTTCTTGAACCTCTAATAGATTTCAAGGTAACCTTACTTTCGAGATTTTGTCTTATTAAATTTCTTACAATAGAAACTGGCATGTATGTTGTGAACTGTGCTTACACTATGAAAATGTTAAATCTCAATGAAATGTGAACCTTTGCTATTTGTTTTTAAGTGAAATTATGCCATTAAACAGCCAAAGGAATAAAAATATGTTTATACATCAGCACTTGCAGTTCTGGCATACCCACTGCAAAGTGTGTACGCCAAAGTCCATTTACCAGTATCACAGCAAATTAGCTGGTAATAATTCAGATAATGTTTTTAAGGTTCAAGGAATTTAATTAATATCAAAAAACAAAATGATAATTAAAAATTAATGCTTTATATAAAGTTATTATTATTTAATTATATTTATATTTTAGGTATTTAAAAAAATATTATGGTATTTAAAAACATATTTTTTGACGTAAATGAGATCGACAAAAATGTAATTGTTAACAAGTGATAGACGTTATCTTTTGATTTTGGATTCTTTCACAAACACATAGTTTCTGTCATAGATTCTGTCACGAACGCAATGTTCTCGGTTTGGTATTCATTTGTGAGACCTCTCAGAAGCTTCTTTAATGTGGTTTTGATCTGTAGAATTTCCACAGAAGTAGGATCTGCTTCTTGTAAATGACTTGTTTTAATTTTTGAGAGTTATGTACGTTCTTTTTTGTATGGGAATTCAAGGAATTCATTCATCTTGAAAGAAATATTTGTTAATGAAACTTATAAATTATTATTATTATTATTATTATTATTATTATTATTATTATTATTATTTTTCAAAGAGGCAGTGTGCTCTTAAACATTAGGATTCCTTCGTATGGTTAAAATAGGAAAATATTTAATGTAATAATGTTTGAGTTTGTGTGTTTAATATTGGGAAACTTTCATTGAATTGTTTCTTTGACAACAACTATTATGTGTAGGTTAAACTTTGTTAAGCAATAATTGAGGAGTGTTTGAGGTAAGCTGTACCATTTCTAAAAATTATGATTTTCAATTTTTTATGCTGTAAAATGTTTTGCTCAAATAATTGCCAATAGAATACACTTCATATATATGTTCCTAAATTGTTCCAAATGATCAGTGGTGGATCCAGAGACGAATTTTGGGTGGGTAAATTTAAATATTTTTTTCGAATGTCACAGCCTACACTCAGCTCATGCTGCTCACGCCACACGCAACTCATGCTGCGATACGTTTTTTTTCGTTTTAATGATAACCTGAAAACATTTTTGTTTGAAAGTCAGGTGACGAGTTAAAATTAATATTGACATCATTTTTAGAGGGTGGGGATGATTTCCTTCTCCATGGCTCTGCGTCTGGAAATGATACAGTGCCATCTGCTGTTAGTACATATTTATGCAATATTATAATATAAAGCAGCTAGTATATATTTCCTGTGCCTTTTGCACATTCACTACCATTTTTATGTTGTTTTCTTGATTGTATTTATGGAACATAATTGTCAATAACTGAATAGAAGTTATTTATTTCAATCAATTATTTATTTGATTATTATTGGCTTTTGTAATTAATACATGTTTCTCTGTAGGAAGAGTTGTATTTCAAATGGTGTGATGCTTCTGAATGATGGTGATTCAGTTGCATTAGATAAATACACCTTTTCCAATGCCATGGCTTTATCTGTGAAATTAGGCATTTGGGAAGCTTCTCTTGATCGCTATGTTGACAGCATTGAATTTGTTACAGAGGTGAGATTTTATGAATATATTACTTGTGAGACTGATGCTTATTATTGCTCCTTATTTTCTGCTGGATTACTTAAGAGCAAATAAATATTTGAGTACATTTAAGCCTTCCGTGGAATGGTCTTTTATTACCTATGAATGTTTTATATTATCATTGAATATTGAAATGTGGGATAATGGCTTAAGTTAAGTTCACATAGGTATCACCCAAATTACTTCTGGATATGTCAGCCTATTTTTCAAAACAGTGTTGGCTCTTGCTGGTTTGTTAAGGGGAGGAAGAAGCTAATTGTACAAACCACTTCAAATTAAACTTCCAACAAATTAGATTACATATATCTAGATCTAACTGTTCAGTTTTCCTGTAACTACTGTCAGCCCACATTGCAAAATTATACCGATTTGCAGCTTAAACCCTTGCCTACTGGAGTACGAGCATGACTCATCACCCATTGCACCTTCATCTGTTTCAAAATGAAACCAATAGATGGCACTTCAAGGGTGGAGATTCTCCCCTTAGAATTTGTAGTTCTATTAGAAAACCTTTTTCTCTTCTTGCCACAATGGACTGAGAGATAAGAGTGATTGCAATTGTTTTAAGTAGCTTAAACACATGCTTTAGTGTGAAACTAATAATAAGTTTCCTCATAGCTTCCAACTCAAACATTGTTCATTTTCCACATCAAAGAAAACATGTAATTTAGTAATTATGTCCAGAAAGAGAAAATATGTAAAGAGGGCAATCCCCCCCTTTGAGAAACCACTGTGAGTTCAACAAATAGGATTGTTTTATAGGCTGAAAAAGTATTGAACTTCCTTTGAGAATTGAAGATCTTGATTAGGATTATTTTAGAACCTAATGGACTTCCTGCAGTCTGATAAAAAATAAAAATAAAATCTTATTTTGTATTTACATTGCTTTTGATAATTTCTCGTGTTTTGTTCTTACAATTGTTACTTGAAAATAAGTAATTTTATGAAATATAAACTACTTGGCAGTTGAGTTTTCTTTTAAAGTTTGCCTGTGTGTTGGTGTTGTTGTTATTGCTTATTATTTTATATTTTTGAGTTGATATTCTGCAAAATAAATAACCTTAATTTTTTCCTTTTTGAAGCTTTATCAGAATTATTAGTTGAAAACGGCCGTTTGTCAAAAAATATATGAATTAAAATAAATAATCTTCAATTTTGATTGAAATTCTATTGTTTTTTAATTTTTTTAATAACAATGCTTTCTGTAAATATGATTTTTCTTCACATTTGACATTTAAGTACCTACATTCGACATTCCTGGCATATAAGCCCGCCCCCCCCCCTCCCACAAATAGTCATGAAATTTGTGATGCAAATTATATGTATGTCTTTTTGAAGGATTTGAAGAAGGGCTCCCAGATAAAAATGAGCCGTGAAGAGGTGTTAAGAAAAACTGGTGAATTGTTTGCATTGCGGCATTTAATAAATTTAAGTTCAGATTTGCTTGACACACCAGATTTCTATTGGGATCGTGAAGACCAGGAAGTTCTTTACCATCAAACTTGTTCTTATTTTAGCATTCAAAAGCGAACCAAGGTAAGGAAAAAATACAAATATTTCATCCATTTACATTCAAATGAAAATTTCAAACATTAAAATTTTTATGGAGAACAATGCAAAAGCAATTTTTATGAGGAACAATTATTGTGAATAAGTATTGTATATAATATGTCAACTTTTCAGGATTAAGGCTGTTTCTATTATGTTAGTTTCAATATGTTATAGAATCATACAGAAGTTCTAAAAATTCATAGTCTTCTATTAATATTATCAACATCAGTCTGCCACCTTTTGTAGAATGAATGATCAATTTTAATAAAAATTGCAATACATTAGAACTTTTACCAAGTGAATAAAATGTAAGATGTTTGTATCATAACATCTTATTTCAATACTTGACTGGGTATCTAACTCAGCCCAAAGGCCTTGTTCGATAATTCTCTAATCTCATATCATATTAAAAGGTCTTAAAATATTAATTTTGTAAATAACTATTAGTAAAGAAGACAATTGGATTATCTTTGAGTTTTCTTTTGAAATTGTGATTCTCACTTGCAAAGGTTTGTCACTTTACATATTTTACCCTGTTTTTACTGGAACTGTTACGTGCTTATCTGTGGATGTTAGTTGTACATAACTAAGAGGAATTCTGTTCTAGGTGATGAATGAAAAACTGAATCATTGTTTGGAGTTGGTTGATCTTCTCTCATCTCATTTGAATGATAAACACCATGTCAGACTAGAATGGATGATCATTATTCTTATCATGGTGGAAGTAGGATTTGAAATTATACATTATATAGATAGATTCTCATAAATTTTGTCCCCAGATTGTCTAGTTTTAAAATACAAGATTTTAATGTTATATTATAGTAGTTGACTTATTTTGTATTTTTGTATGAGTTTTTCTCACATTTTTGTGTGATTAAACAGTATGTTGTATGTATCTTGTGTATTTATTCATTTGCAATCGTGCACCAGTTTTTATTTTGAGCACAATTTTGTGTCCAAACCTCCTTCCATTTCATTCAAGATCCTAATTATTATACGATTAGAAAGATATTGTGAACATTTCTGGGCATTTTTCATGACCATACTAGTGCTTAATCAATTTTGTTGTGTACATTGAGAAGGAAGCTATCTTAGTGAGTGAAGATTTTTTCAGTTTGATTTTAGTGCAGATGGTAAGTTTTCTGTTTTAAATTTTAGGTGTCAACAATTCACAAAAAGAAACAAAATTTCTTTTAACATACTATTAATTATTCAACGTTCTATTAATTCACAGCTCACTCAAACTACAAGGCTGAAATACTACAAATCTGAATTACTGCACGACGATTACTTTCATCTGCGAATCATTCGTACGTACTCTCTACAGAGCAAAATTATAAGTCCTATACTTTCTGCCTAGGTCAACACAACCTTAGCTCCTGAGATGAGAAGGAGTCGTTACAACTGCCCTCTTAGTCATTTCTTGCTCTCCTACTTTCTTCTGGCTTTTCTTCTAGCTACTTTCTTCTGGCTACCTCCCCTACCCTCCGGTCAGTCAACGACACGGCCTAGAACGAGTCATACTTTGCGCGGCAATTCAAACGGGTATCGCGTTCGTCCTCCGCATCCACATATAGTTACGTCTAATATACATACACCTCCGCAGAAACACATGTAATTGGTTGTTCATATTGCTAGTACAAAACAAAACAAACAAATTGAAAAGTGTGTTAAATGAATATATGCCCATTATCTTGTGTTTTAAAGTGAGTTCCAATTAAAAAGCCATTCCGAAGTATTGAAAACCCAATGTATTTTGTAAAGGTATGTAGTAAGCTATTTTTTATGCATTTTGAAAAACCAAAGTAAGAGTTCTTTTTTTCTGTCAAAGTGTGTTTGTACAACTTACAATGAATAGCATTGAAATCATTAACCACAAAAAATTAATGACTTCAATGAAAAAGTCACAGAACAATTTTCTGAAAGCGTCCAATGAACTGTGAGTTTCGTCACGCAGTGTAGACGGCAAATTATCCAAATTGTTTCGAGGATTGGGGAGAGACATTTATACTTCTAGCCTTAAAATTGTACTGGGAGCTTATGAAAAAGCTAAAGCAAAAGCGCGAGTAAAATGTTTTGAATCAATGTGTTCAATAGAACTCATGATATCCCAGGGAAAAAGGTTTTGGAACGAGCCGAGTCGACACGCGTGCTGACACGACCCTAGTATTAAATATTTCGGAGGGCCCTTGCCGAGCGAAGTCGAAGCGGGTGTTGTCAAAAGATACGGAAAACTTTTACTGCTGATGAAAGGTTCTGTTCAGCATGCTTTCAGACTTCCTAAGATACATTGTGTTTCTCATTATGTAGGTTAATGAATTGCATGTAATATATGCTTGTGTGTGCGAGAGAGAGAGAAGATAAGTTACACACCGTAATGGCATGACCACGAACCGCCTCTGGTACCGAGTAAATCATCCCTCTTCGAAACCCTAGATTTGTCCTCAGTAGTGATAATTGTTTGTAGGAAAGGATGACCATCATAATCCTTTATTGCCTGTACCTGAAAAGGAGTAGTATCATTATTTGCCCTAACCATCAAAAGTTCCAATTATAAAAGTAAACGTATGTGTGAATGTATTTAAGTAATAGAAAGATTCTCAAAACTACCACAGTGTGTAAGCAGTCTAGGTGAAAAAAGTCAGAATTTACAAAACTACAAATTCTTTACTGTAATACAAAGCATATATAGAAAGTAAAATATAATGTTAAATATGGAACGCTTTTCTTTGAAAAAGTTTGACGTCAAATGCTTTCTTCCGCAAAATTAAAAGATCGAGCAACATATTCACGAACTGAACATTCACTGGTATAACTATTAAATTGTAATAATAGTATGTATGTTTTGTGGGTAAATCCCGAATTTAGGGTGGCACTGTTTCACTGTCCTTTGTTTCACTGAATCGGTTCATTGGAGGGAAATCGACTTCATGAAGTTCATGATGTTAACGCAATAAGTATAATTATTTAAAATAAATTATATTTCACTAACACATTCTACTTCAACTTTTATTATCCCTCAACACCTCATTTTAATAATAAGAAATCAATTCGTCTATTTTTTCAAACAAATAGTACTTAACATGTTAAAGACAACAGTATTTTAATAAAAAAATCAACTCACATATTTGTTGAAATTACAGAATTTTAATAGTATTAAAAATACTATGATAGTCAAATTAATGTTACGTCTCTGTAATAATTACGTAGAACATCATTTAAAACGAAAAACTTCAATGATTCATCAACGTTTCACCAAATCTGCTTGTATCTAAAAAACACACACTTTTTAATTTTTATGAACTGAAGTTCAGTAAATTAATAAGACGCCTCTCAAACCATGAATCCTATCGCACAGACATTTCCACGCTATGACCATTCTCGCCTCTCACTCTACAAATCCACTCATAACCATCTTTTCTATCCTCTCTCTTAGTAAATTTCATATCACTCCTGCGTACATTACATACACGTAAGAGACGCAAGCAAACCCACTTTCTGACACCTCTGGATCTCATTTAAAGTTCTTTCTCGGCACAAATCATAAATAAAACTAGCATTCATACCTTCCATCTCAGTAGACACCCAAATCTATTAGAAGAAGACTTGAAATTCGGGAAAAAACACGCAAATCAACGTTAACAAATTCTTCAGAAACTTATACGTAATATCTCATTAATTTTACAATAAATAATTTAGTTGTTATTGTAACAACTAAATGTGTTAATGGAAGGCTGTTTAATTACCAACCCATGTCTATATTTATATTTCAGTTGAAGCACGTGATGAAGAAGAAATGTTTCATAATAGCAAAATGTATAGCTTTATATGGCTTTGACTCGCAGTCATATTGCATGTATTTATGCTTTGGCATAAGAAAATTAATCAAAGCCAGCAAAATTATTCTCGAGCATTCAAGTGAACCTCGCCATTATAATCTTGGGAATCACGAGAAATAATGAATCAAAAGGAACCGTGCCACCCTAAACCCAGGATCAACCAAGAATTATTCTTTCTTAAATGAAATAAATTAATGAACAAGGAATAATATTAAAGTATTATATACTATATCTCTTGAACTTATACACATGAGATTAATGAAATTCGTCAGCAGAAGTAATTGCTGTCTGCTTCCACCCAGCTTATTATTCCGCATCCTGTCTTTTTAAATTATTTCCCGGGGCAACATGTCGTCATAACATTGATTGTCACTGACGGTCTCCAGAACACCCATGTTATGGATGTACCGTATGGTGGTGATGTACGAGGTCGCCACAACGTTCATCTGTTCACCTTGTAGAGAACCCAATCTTTCGAAAGCTTATTGACCATAATATCTTGCTATGTGAATTAACTTCTTATGTAATTCGTGATATCGCCCTACACTATAATACGAGTATCTTCCGTCAAGTGAACTGTAGTGATGTGTACGTTTAACGGGAAAGATCCAAAACCTAATTGAATAAATGTTGAATATCTATGAAAACAAGGCTAGTTATTACAAAAATATTGTGAGCAATCCAATATAATTTTTCACAAGAGAATCTCTAGAAATCTACATTTCGTACGAACATCCAAAACTGTTCAAAGCGCCGCGATGCAAGAATATTTTAACAATATTGCCAGATGAGCTAAGCTGGATATTGAAAAGTTAAATTAATGATGGAACAAAGATTCAAACTTATTTTAGTAAAGTTATTTCGTTTTAAAAACGTTTTTTAAGGAGTGCAATATAGATTTTAATGCTAAAGTAACTTTATTTTTATTGTTACGGAAGCGAATAGTGTAAAAGTCATTGCGATACATAGATTCAATGTTGCAAAGCACTTGTAGACAGCGTGTGTATAAAAAAGTTCAGTTTTAAATATATGTTATCAAATGTTTATTTGATTAACATTTTTACTTATTATTCTTTTATTGTAGTTATTTTTGTTTATAAATCGTCACCCGTTTACACATCAATGTGACCAAGTGAGACGTAGTACGGGGCATTCCGAATCACATCAATATACTACTTCTTACATAATCTCTTGGTCTGACCGGTGTGTGTGTGTGTGTGTGTGTGTGTGTGTGTGTGTGTTTGTGTTAATTATCTGTGTAATTGAATTGTATTCCAACACCAAGAACAATAGTACAAGCATCGAGATAGGGATATGGGTTACCATATGATATGTGTAATGGATCAGGACCCAGATGGACCTACGTGCTATGTCGGCGTGGGTTTGGGGTGCGTGAGGAAACTATTCTCAAAGAATCGTCCCCAGAGGATCGAAAATTACTGCGAGGGCCTTGGTACGTTTCTTAGATACCGAGACAGTCGGGGAGGGGATGTGGGAAAAGGAAATCTCGACTCGAAAGAAAAGGATGTAACTTTAACCAGTACGATAAATTCTGTGCTATTTTATAGTACCTCTAGTGTAATTTCACGTGGATTATCCATTGCACTCTTGCATGTATGCGAGAACTACGATGCCATTCTGAAGTTTAGTGAAAGTTTTTACCACAACTCACCTCTTCTTAGAAAGCGTGAAATGTTTTGTCAGAACTATGAATCCACTCGGTACCGGCTATACAGACGTGGTACATTATGTTAAAATTTGCACACCCTTTTCCAGAGACGCTTTGGCACGTGACTTCTGGGATTCCTAGGCTTCCTAACGAACGGTAGGAACAACAGATTCGTAGAGGGAATAAGGAAACGTATTTGAGAAGGGCTGCGTATGCGACCCCCATGCAGCGGCCAAGCCCATCGAACACATGGTCACTGTCCAGGGCTCACTGCATGCTGGGTGAAACGTCACCGCCGACTTTACTGTCACGTGTAGCATGACTAAAGCCAGTGTTGCTATCTGTCATTTTGTACGTGAACCACTTGATTTCATTGTGCGATTACGCTTGCTCATTAAGGTGGAAACCCGCGGCAGTTCAGTGACCTCATTAAAGAAGCCAGGACGTCGGAGGGAAGTCACTCGCGCTGTCACATCTAGCGAGACGACAAAGCTCTATTGGAAGGCTCACAGAAATAACGAAAGGTACTAAAGGAATAGAAAAAAGGTACTTAAAGAAGGTTCAGATGATATTAAAGATTATAATCTTTTTTCATTCATGTGCTCTCGGGCACTGACGGATCCAGGGGGAGGCATGGGGGTCGTGGCCACACCCACAAAAGGTCTAGAGTTTTCGTTTACCGTCCTTTATTTGGCAAAATTGATTTAAATATTCATTTATGTCCAAATTATGAAATTATTTAAACAATTATATTACATAATATGTTATCCACAGTACATAAATAGTATACCCTTTAATAACAAATATGTTTTTTATTTAACAAAAATCTACGATTCCCCCTCAAATGATCGGCTGGATTCACTCGGGCTCTATGGTCAGTGATGTGGGGAATTGGTTATGAATTATGATTCTCTTGAAATAAAACACGACTTCAAACATTTATTTACAAATAAAGTTGGGACAAAAAATACTCAACAGTGGTACATTCAAAGAACTTTTCTCTGCGAAGCAATAACCATATCCTGATTTACACGCGCTCGGCGCTAGAGTGAACACAGGTTCGTCTAGCTGTCACGACCGCACGAGTTTCAAGTTCCAATTCACATCCCCTACTTGCTGACACAGTCCCATCCACTCCCCGCAAGGGGATTGTGACCGCGTAGGCTGTCACGCACTCTGGGGGAGAGTTGCAGGTGATCACCCAGATCCTGAGTTTCACAGTGGCACTCACGTCGTTAGCTTCAAGATGGAGGCTGTGAGGAGGCGATGCTAAGCTCCATGTTTCCGGGTAACACCCGCCAACCCACCAGTTGGGCCCCTGGCGCGTCAACCTTTCGGAAGGATTGGGCAATTCTTCGGAATGTTCCAAATCACACTTATAGATTTGGGCAAAGAGGAAGGACTTGTCCTAGTGCATCTGAAAGAGCGTATTGTTCCGACTCCGGAACTAGCCTGGATAGCTAGGAGTTCTGATCTGGCAGGGCGGCCCAACCCAAGCCTTCTATGGGGAGGTTACCTAGAGGGTCATCTGCGTTCTGGAGGAACCCAGATACCAGCCCAAGGACGTACTTGTACGCATAAGGGCGGTCTGGATAGAGGCTATCGCCGAGGTGCCCACCCCAGGGTGAACTTTCTCTGGTAAAGTACACGAGGTAAGCACACGGCAGTCCACTACACAGTCCCATCCACTACGTATCGTCCAACAGTGCAGCCTCGGGGGAGCGGAGGGCTCTCGTATCTTCAAGTCTTCCTCCTCCGCAAGAGTCACTTCGCGAGCCTCAGTTTTCTTCTGATTGCGCAGACTGTGAAGCGTTATTAGAATTAAACGTTTTGGTAAAACTTCATGTGAAGAAAATATTTTACAAATATTACAAGAGGAAGAGCGTTTTGAAAGAGTGACAACTACTCGGTTTTTCCATAAACCCATCTTTCCTTGCCTACGCTCTGCATTCAACTATGGAACTTTTAACGATCTTATAATTAATACTTAGAACTCTGAATAGAATGAATAACTCCGGGCTTAGGAAGAAACAAGGGTGTCCGCAAAGGTGTAGCTGGTGCAAGTTGTCCCAGAAACTGATTTAATCAGAGCCCCGAAAATTCTTTTCATAAATATGTATTTAGCTTTAATTCAAATTAGCTGCTGTAAGTTATGTGTGTTGAATAGAGATATGAATTTTGTTTACTTATTGGGGACGCCGCCGCCTTTTTTTGAATAAGGGTTTCCAGTAGATTTACTGCCCCAAGCCCTTCGTTTTATCTGGGAGCTCCTGGGAAAACACGAGATCTGTCTACCAATTGGTATTGCATTTGGGTTTCCCGTCTTCTTGCTGGCGCGACTCTGGAATAGCGCGCCTTTCAATTAGAAAACAACTTCGGATTGAGAAACATATTCAATTGAAACATTTATGATGTATTCCGTTAATAATTTTCCTGAATTTTTTCAATGAGTAGCCAATGTGAACCTTATCCCCCATGCACTGCTAATGGTTCTCTTTCATTCAGACGGAGTTAAGGGCAACCGGCGGAGATACCGAGAGTCTAGCAATATAATGAAATATTAAATATAATAGTTTTCTAGATAAGTTCATATATATTATATTTATTACTGTTATTATTTATTTCATTACATTCATTGGTCCATTTTTCTTGTTCGTTTGTTCCGAAACCCGCTTGGTTCACCATAAGTTCGTTTTGAAAGACATTGCACTCCCGGTTCCAATGGTGGAAGCCAAGGAGGTCTGTCCGTCACATCACAGCTCGCCTTCAACCAAACCCTGTTGCAATGGTCGTGGCGACGGTCCAAAGCCGCCTCGGGGGCGGCGCGCCCCCTTATCCCTTATCGCATCGCGCGTGCGGCGCGGGGGCGCGGGGGCGCAGTCAGCAGTGGACTTGCGCTCTGCTGAGTGCGCGCTCCGGCCGCGGCCGCGCCCGCGCCCGCGGGGCCGCTGCGCCCGCGCGCCACTCCGCCGCCATGCTGCCCCCGCCGCGCCCGCTCCTGGCGCCACTGCTGGCGCCGCTGCTGGCGCTGCTGCTGGCGGCCGCCCTGGCACCCCGCCACGCGCGGGTGAGTAGCGTGTATGTCACTGACACTGTTGGGAAAAAGGACGAAAAAAAGAAAGGAATTGGGCTCGGGTGCAGTTACTCGTGAAAATATTGTACTCAATTACAATTACAAATTGCGTTTTCAGCATGTAGATAGTAAAATTACGATTACAAGTACAGCTAGAGATGTGCCGTTTATGAACGAGCTAATCTTCGATCGGTGCGCTGGAGTGGTGCCACAGTATTGATGGGGCCAGGGAAATGCTCTTATACCTTGGATGGGAGCCTTTTGATCAGCCTACTTTGGGAACTAAATGAACTTAGCAACCCATTAGTTCGCCAAAAGCAAGATGGTTTGTTAGCAAATATAACTAAAAATGCATATTTTAAAAATAAATTATGTTTTCATACGGTGTGACGATTACTACAAAGTAACTATTACAATTTTATATCAAGGAGTAAATTACGAGTAAATAATACAGTCTACTAAAAATAACGATTACATATCAAAATTACTAACAAAGTAATCGTTACACGAAATTTAATTACTTTTACTCAATTACTCCCCCACACTGGTTACTGATTTCCAATGCGCACAGAAAATCAAAGAAATATGTGTGAACCTCCGGCCGTGTCGGAAGTATCTTTGGATTGGTTAGATACAAAAGAAATATGGTAAAATAAAAAAAACTACAAAAATGAAACAATTTCAATTTTAGCTGAAAAAGCAAATATTTGTTTTTTCCGTCATTGCTTTCGACCCACCGGACGCCAAGAGGCAGAAGACTCCAAGAAAGAGACTAGCCGCTATTAAGAATTTACCATATTTTTGTGTTGCATTAAGGAAAATAAACATTTTTATATTGTTGATATGTAAAGGGCTGTTTTACTGTGTATCCGTAAAAACTACGCCTTTGCATTATTAGTGGAGACTGTTTTTGTTGAAATATTTAATTTACTCAATATTTTACAAGAGTATTGAGCTTGAGCAGTGTACATGTTACGCTTTGGAACATCATTTTGTGTTGTTTGGTTCAGCAGCATTTTTGTTGCTGCAGGTAACTAATTATTTTCTATCGTCTTTATACAGACTTCCGAAAATATATTCAAATTATGAGAGGAATGTAGGACAAGGTGACGAAAAGATTTGATTTCATAAAAGTGTTTATACTCTCTGTGGTTTGTCCTACCTCTGCAACGCTTCTGGTAAAGACATTGAAATATTCGAGAATTCCTTAGAATTCCGACCGGGTTGGAACCCGAAAAAAATTAAGATTCGTTCCCATTCTAATATTGACGATAAGGGGGACCCATGGTATAGCAGTGAAATTGCTCACCTTACACTGCTGTGGCCCCTATGATCCTTATCCGATCCTAGTGGAATTTGCGGAGGACAAAACGGATTCGCGGAAGATTTCTTGGGTTTCTCCCGCTCCCTCTGCTTCTCATTCCATCGTCTCAACTTTCATTGCTCAAATCATTCATGATCATTATCTTCATCACATGTGAACACACACGCCTAAACCGGGGAGACCCGGCCCGACCCGACGACGGCGACGATGAGATTTCTGGGTGCGGAGCTACGACCGTTGAGGCGCCCCCCAGAAATGCTGCCTCACGATGAATGATTGAATAAATGTAGTTAAATCGTCATTGAATTATTCATTTATTTTCGAATACTTTCTATGCAAGTATATTTAGAACGGGGATTCCCAACTTTTTTTTCATCGACTCCGTTTAAATGAATTGTTTACTTCATCGACTCCATTACGTTTTCTCACCTTCCTTATACTTATCACTCTTCTATATACTCATTCTTAATCATTAAACAAAAAAATGCTCATAAATGCCATAAAGGTAACTTCGTACGCTAATATTCTCATAAATATCTCGATTTGTCATGATCATAGACGCCTCAGCTTTTGAGTAGCTGAGTTTCTTAATCATTGAAATCCAATTTTTACAAAATGTTGAGTTTTTTAAACAGCTGTCCATTACACATCATTAGTGCAAATTGTGAAGAATACTTCCTTCCGCAATAGAGTATCGCTGTGAATGCGCAGTTATAATTTCTTGAGTTTTCTAAACAACTTAATTCTTAAGGATGAACGATGGATACATAAGAAAAGCGAATTTGTAATTTATTATCATACGTCTTGTTGCTTTATATCAGAAAACAGTGAATGAAGTTCATTCATGTTTTTTGCAATCAATGGGATCGTGTTTATCCAGAACAGGGTCTATTGACCCCCAATCAACCCCTTAATCACAATTGACACCCTTGAAAATTTTACCGACCCCCAGAGGGTCTATTCCGATCCCGTTGGTAATTCGTGATTTAGAACACGTGATTTTTCACAGGGTCAAGCGCCTGAGATCCGGCGAGTTGACATCGGCAGTCGGCACCTGCTATCGCTGCTGCTGGAACGGTTGAACGAGCCCATCTTCATGCCCAAAGGAGACTACGACACCATCTACTTCCGGGTGCCGACCAAGTACCTGGTGCGTTGGATGCTTCCTTGTGGATTTGCGACCTACTTTCCGCGCAGTTCATCAAATTGTCAAAATTAATAGTAGTGCGACAACAGCAAACAGTTTCTCGAATTATTTGTATTGGCTATTCCATTTTTTTAAAACCAATTTAATCTGTAAAAGTGGTACTCGAAATTAGGTTCATTGGTTTAGCACACCATTTTCATTACACCTACACTACCAGCCTCAAGGTAAACACAACATTCCTGGTGCTTTCAAAACAAATCTGAACATTTGAATTTGCGACTTAAAAAATATGAGAGTTTAATTGTCATTATTTGAAGATTTGACTGTAAAGAGCATATTTCATTAAGACAAAATCTCTATCTTCAATACTGTAGTTTTATGTTGAAAAAATTTAATTTTAGGAACTTTTAAAAGTACAAAGAGTTTAACGAAAATGGGACCTGTGCCATTTTCATAAATATACATTGACTTGAGAAAAATTTAAAGATATCTTTCTGTTCTCAAGAACTTTTTTTGAAATTCGCCTTTATTTATCGCAAAAAATACAAAAAAAACTTATATTTTCATTGTGCATGACTTTCATCAAAGATATCTTTGGAAAGCAGATATTAAAAAGAGGGGTTTTCAATTTTGTAGTTAAAGGACGACGCCGAAAAACGTCGAAATCTTCTAATTTTCAAAAATTCAGTTCAACGAAAATCGGTCCTGCGTCATTTTTATAGACGTACTTCACAGTATTCGGGACCAATTAAAGAAAAAAATTGAAAATCTTGTTTTTAAAATTGTTATTATGCGGAAACTACTCATATTTTGAAAAAGTTGCCTGACGTGATTCAAAAATTTACTTTTTAAAAACAGAGTTCATTCCGAAAAAATCTCTCTTCAATGTCGTAACTTTAGGAAGACACCAGTTTCTCTAACTTCTGCAATTTTCCAAAACAGCAAATTTAACGAAAATTATATCTGCGTTATTTTTATTAGCGTACCTTGCAACAGTCAAGAAAAAATAAAATAAAAACGAAGCCATTTTTGACAAAATTTTGAAAATGTCTTTGAGACATCATGTAAAATACCAGCAAACCATATGATCAAATTCAAAGGGCCGCGACATCAACAAAATTGATTGGGGAAAATCAGTTTCTTTTGTTATTTAAGGTCGCATCAACTACTAGGTCATTAGCGACCACTATTGCGTGTAACTGTATGGTAACTATGAGGATGACACGATATGATGATAGGGGCGTGAAAGGACGAACACAATACAACCATGCCCATGGCGGGACTGGAACCCGCGATCCTTCGGTCCAAAATCGCTACGGCACTACTGCCTTAGCAATCTCGGCCATCCGGGCCGGCGAAAATCAGTTTTGTGGAAAATCCTAACGACGGTTTAGCCGGGAACTGATTTTTTAGTGCCAAGGGTCAACAAAACGTAAATTATTGCTTTAAATGTTAGAATTACGATACAATATGTTCTCTATTCTATGTAAGTAGCATGCCAGAAAGTAAAATACAATATGTAATTTGCAAACAATATTTTTGTTATTACCGTTGAATAAAAGTGTTTGCAATGAAAAATAAGTACATATTATGATGGAAGATCCAAAGTTACGCATCAGCAGTGATCTCGGGAGAGATCCGTTTGATGTGCCTATTCAGCGAGTTACAGAGATAAAGAAGGCAGCGTTTGGAATTAATGATTGAAGAATTTTTAAAATTTTTGTCGATAAATGGAACTAAACAAGCTGATTAGCTTAGTAAAAAGCTGGTTTGCGGGAACTGCGTGCAAAATGTTCAAGCTCTTATTTTGTAATAAAACTGAACATACTCAAGTCAAATTCATTGTTGGTCATTCTGTAAAAAAAGTTTAAATTGTTTTAAATTACATAATTATAAGTTTTTTAGTAACATAATTTTTCTGATGTACGCTTTTGAAAATTGTAGTTTTTGAGACTGTATGAAACATAAATTTAGACTTATTTTTGTGGCGTTCAAAATGTTTTCTGATTGTAAAAATTATTTATGATAATTGGAATGTCAAAATGTCCCTCCTTGCAGTATTGATAATGTTAATGTGTGATGTAGGAGTATTGATCCTTCGTTATTCTAACTGGATATAAATATCAGCAGGGTGCCAGTCATTTATTCACTGCTTACTCGAACCGTCTCTCGCATTTGTGTCATGTATTCTCATATATTATCTGGTTTCCGTCTTGACCACACTATCTCTGGCCATGTGAAGTTGATAGTCTTGATTATTTCAATGTGCCACCTTCATTTCCCCCTTTTTCTTCTTCCTACTGCCATTCCGAGCATAATCTTTTTTTTCATGAAATTATGTTTCCTTCATAACATGACTAAAATATTTTAGTTTTAATTTAGTTGCTTTGGATTCTAGAGAAAGTTCTGGATTTATTTTTTCCAAAGTTTCTGAATTTTTATCTTCTCTTTTACTTTCAATATTTTCCTTCATGCTCACATTTCAATTTATTTTTTCTGCCTGTTAACTTATAGCTTTCGCGTTTGTTGTCGTGTTACCCGTACAACGAGATTGGAAATATTTTTTTCAATTGGTTTTTGTACCTCTTGGTAGGATTTTGATTATTTTAGTAGAATACTAGAGAAAACGTAAAACGACTATTTTAACGCAGGAAACATTTAAAATGTAAAGTACTACCTCAAAATTTTGAATGTATAGAATCCATTTAATCATGTTTAATAGAGAAACGTAATCATTGTAAATGAAACTACTTGGAAAACGTTCGTGGTAGTATTCATGTAAATCATAGTAAATCATGCATTTGTTTGATTTTTGGGGATGACAAATACGTCTGTAATTTTCAAAATTCCTGAAAAATACCATCTTTGAGCAGCGTATCAAATTAGTAAATTATGCAACAAATAATGTTATGTTTCATTAAATTATGTTTCGCAAACAACGGAGCTAGTGTGAAGATTTTTAAGAGACCGATACACACATTTTAAGAAACTGCATACACTGTTTTTTCTTTAACGTCGCGATTAAGAACTGAAATGAACTTTTTTCGATGTACAGCTGCAATTTCACACGAAACGTCACGTTATCTGCTGATATTTTCATTACTTTTGATAGATGCTAATCTTTAGTTTCAAGTATTGCTAAAGTGAAGGTATTTTCGTTCACATTCACGTTCACATTCACAAGATATTTTCGTTCATTGTGTTTCGTTCATCGTACATTTGTGAATGTAAACAATTTTGAAAAGCAAAACTAATGGTACTTTAGCAACGAATACTTTCTCGTATTAGTAACGGTTACGTATTTATTTAATGTGGCACCTATTTTACTACACCTACTCTTGAGTAACTCAAAGTATATAACTCAATTTTTCGCGAAAAATACTGATGTTTTATGAAACGCACTTGCAATGATTTAAAAGTATAATATTGAGGAATAGGAAGCATCAAGGAAAGCATCGAACTTCATTATTGAAGGTGTAGGACATGTTCAAAGTGTGTGATTTGGAGCCTTTGAGAATATAGTCTCGAACAAAGGTCCAATTTTGTTTCTTTTAACTTTTAGTGCAGATATAAACATATCTCCATCGTTAATATTTACAGTACATATGTACATCAAAATTGGGAAATTTAAAGAAATTCTTGAACGTCATTTCCCTCAAATTAGCTCTAAATTTATCTTCTAGAATTTCCATATTAATCGATGTTTTGCTCTCTTGCAATGTTCTAAAATTTTATTTCAAATTCACTATAAAGTATCAGAAAAAAGGCAAATATGTAAAAAAATCTACATGTTTTTATAAAGTTTCCAGAACAACTTGTATTATATCAATAAATTAATCGTTCCTTTACCCTGGCCAGTAATTGTGTGCACAATCTCGGTACATTCTATGCGAGTAATTGAGGGAACAAATATACAAGCTCTTAGATTCTGGACGTGGGACGAGAGGGTATCTTGAAAGGATTCTTGGTATTACAGCAACTTCGTTTTTAGATTCTGACGCAAGAGCAATTGTTATGCGAGACGGTCGCGTGGACATATCCTGAGGCACTGGATGAGAGGATTATGGGAGACGTGTGCATGTTGAAGGGACAAAATGCAATATGTTTGTTGCTGGGCGTGAGATAAGAGGGTGATGGGGGTATTGCTGTTGCAGGAGCTTTTTTTTGCCGGACGACTGATAGTTTTGTCATGGGGGAGTGGATAAAAGAATGAAGGGAGCGTGTGCGTGTTGAGGGCCCTGATATACACGTTTGCTGTTCGACGTGAGATGAGAGCGTGTAGGAGATGCTGGTGTTGCAGCAACCACGCTTCCACTTCTGACGCACGATTAGTAGTGCGGGACGTCAGTGGTCCTAAGGCACTGGATTATATATGATGAATGGGTGTGCCTATGTTGTGTGGTCCATTGCGTAAGTTGATTGCGTGGGGTGATAGAGGCATATGGGGTTTTGCTGTTACAGCCGCTGGTGCAGAAACTTCAGAACGCAACGGCATTGGGGGAGTTATTCCGAGGAATAACTAAATGAGAGGATGGTAAATGGAGGAATGTGCATGTTGAGAGATTCACAAGGCTGCTGAGAGAGGCAGGGGTCTGCTGGGCGTGGGGCTCTCACCTGTGGCCCAAGAGCTGCAGTGCGGGACGCCAAGTGGTCTTATATCGTGAGACTGGATGAGAGAATGATGAAGTGGGTGTTTGGATTGTTGGGGGCCCGATACGCCCGATAACGGGTTGCTGCTGGACGTAGGATGAGTGTGATATGTTGGTGTTGCAGCACCCGCGCTTCCAGCCATTGACGGAGGAGCTACAGGGCGCGTCAACCGGCGGCGCGGCCGTGGTGAACCTGCCCGAAGTGGCTGTGCCGGAGCTCGGGCCAGCGACGGAGCTCAGCCGCTACGAGCACTTCTCCCTCTTCATCCCGCGCCATCGAAGGATGGCCAAACGCCTCGTCGAAATATTTCTGGGTGCGTGTATTTCGTGTTTACGTAATTGGATGCATCGTACGGGTTCTCTGATGTTCGTTCACCCACACTCTAAACGGATAGTTTTTTCTAGGAGTATCTTAATTGGCTCCACATGGGCTCTCAAACACGACGGTGGAAGAGTGATAGTTGTCTTATTTTTGCAAATATTTTCAATATCCTATTAAATTAAATCAAGACTAACATAATTATCGCCATTTTCGAATTAATACGTTTGTTCTAGAAAAATGAAACAAAGAATTTAGTGTTATTGCTCGGGAAAAATAAATTATAATCCATTTTAATTTTAATGATTACCTTATTTGATTTATGAATAGTTTGCTGTAGGTGGGTGTGCTGAAGTGATACTTGTTGATCGTATTCAAATGTTAGTAAATTACTACCTCATGAGTATAGTTGTACCTTGTAATTTGAGACAGTCAAGTTATCTAAGTACGTTTAATAACAGGCTTCATTATTTCTCATTGTATTTATTCTGCTGAGCCATCCAGTTCTAATGTTCTCGTGCAAGTTCAACGTGAATGACCATCAGGTAGTGACTAAAAAATGGGGGAAAACAACTATAATCCCACATGTGATATAACATTTTAAGAACTATTGAAGAAATGGGATACTTGTAAGAAGAACAAAAATAAACGGAAAGCAGTCTCGTAAGTCGGATCGAATCTTAAGCTACTATAATTTCGTAACAGAGCCACTAGTTCCCAGTGTTTTAAGCTATTTGGACTCCCGTATATGCATATTACATTATATGAGAAAGACACTTAAATTATTGTTATATTGTGTGATTTTAATCAGTTGTATTGTTGGTCAACAGCAAAGTGTGTTGTGGATATTTCTTGTCCCTCCGTCAATTTATAACTAGTGGTGCTGTAAAGTGGCACAGTTTTTCTCCCACTAGTTATCAAATCACTTAAGTCTGGACTCACTTTTCGGTTAAGCTTTTTTTCTCTCCCCAGTTGTCTTCTTTTGTCTTCCAAGGCACATTTTCTCATTTTTAGGCTCTCTAATGCTAGAACTGAAACAATTACGTCTTCACTAACATAGGAGTGTACGGTCTGTGTCCGACCCAGATGGCTGAGATTGTTAAAACGTGTATGGATTCAGCACTTTGGAGCAAAAGGAATCGGGATCGAATCCTGCGCAAGGATTTTAATTTCATGAATGTGTTATTGCAGAAAACTATTGAGGATTTACGAAACTTTACTTAAAATAATTTGAAGCACTTCTACTCACAAATGCAATCAATACAGATAAATAAACCAGATGTGTATGTGCTTTCCTAATTTTGAACTTTTAAACATTTTTCAACTCTTATTCAATTTCTAAAACAAATGTCATGCCAATTAACTGTCTTTACATGCATCTGTATAAACCGATTTAAGTAAAGTAACGAATCTATTGCAAAGGAAACAAATACATTATAATCATTACTCATGGGACTAACTTAGGTTTTCTTTCACCGCGTTATCCCTAAAAATTATATTACTTCTCGCTCTGTGGTGTAGTAGTATGGGTGTCAGCAAGTTAACTCCGAGGATCTGTATTCGGGTCACGGAGCGGAAATAAATTGTTGCTGGTTGAAAATACTTTTGCAAGTTTATGTAGTAGTGTAATATAGAGGAACAGTTAGAAATGATGCGATAAAGTATATTCTTTTGAAGGATGACTAGTTTCATCTAGTATTTCTGCTCGATAAACATCGAAACGTTTCAATAGCTATCATATTCATCATTTTTGTCACAGAGTATAATGAACACATTCACCAAGCAATATTATTTGACCAATGAAACAAAAATAAGTGGGTGTGTCGTGAATTACACTGGCGGACTATTTGACGATTTCTTGCTGGTAGACAGGTGGGAAGATCTGATGTTATGTATGAATCAATTCTTTCTGCCAGTCGAGTTCATTAATTTCGTTAAGAGACTTTTAGGCATGATAAAAAAGTGTTCCCTTTTTTTCTTTTCATCCTAGGGGTTATTTTATACGCTTATCTTCTTGGCTTCATTGGCTATAAACATGAAATCTAACGTAATTATGTACAGTTACAAATTAGTTGAAACAATCTGTTTACATAACAAGAAAATGATCTCCGTCAGGACTTTGTCCATTATAAAGGAAACCTAAGAAAACATAAAATTATATTATTATTATTATTATTATTATTATTATTATTAGCCGATCCTGATAATTTAATGATTCACAACAGGAGTTCCCAAAGGGGTAGATATCGACCTCTTGGGGTGAATGAAATTTTGAAGGAGTAGATTAACATTAAGGGTCGACTGGTGGTCAATAGCTGAATATAGACTAGCGACTGATGAGCATAATCAAGATAAAGTTGCGAATGATTACAAAAATATTAATGAAGTTGATAATTTTTTCTGATATAAAGTTACAAAACATGTAATAATAAATAACAAATTTGCTCCTCGTTTGTATCCATGTCTTCCAGTCATAGGAAATAATATTTTTCCAGAATATTACTTTATCGATTAGGAAAATATTCTCCGCCATTGACTATTGAACAGTAATGGACAATTCTTAGAAAATGCTCAACAGACTGCAATGGGTTACGAATGAAAAAAATGAAGATTATAAACTAAGCTACTCGAGGCGTATAACGCGGATAAAATGCCGACGAAATAAACAATTCTCGCAAAAGGAGTGAATGGAAAGGAAAGGTTACCAGCATCGACATCTGTCTGTAAGGAAAAGGGAATCCCTGATTTAAACATTACTGCGTCAACAGACTGTTACAAGACTTAAGAACAATCGCGATGAAGGACTAGGCCGGAAAGTTAGCTGCGAAGCGATGCTATAGCAAGTGATCTGCGAGGCGAGCGATCGTAATTTACCAGTAGAGTCTTGGAGAATGGTTAATCTTTTTGTAATTTAAAAATGATATGAAATTACTACGTGGCGAAATAAAACAAATGGTCAAGGTATCTGTGATATCTGATAGATTGAACTAGGAATGAATGCCGGTGAAGTCGAGAAGTGTTTATATTTTATAATACTAAAAATACATTAAAATGTTTGAGAAGATTGGGTAATGTTTTTATTTCTGTAGAGTTTATATAATCTAAGTAGACTAAGTAGCCAGGACGATGTTCTAGACTAGTTTGTTCTCGTTAGAAAAATCAACATTAGTTTATGGCGAATTATGTTTAACTGCTATGAAATACCCAGATGGAACATAATGAAATAGAACATTAAGAACATAATATTTAATGAGCAAAAGAGACTGTGCTGTATATTATAACGATGAGAAAGTTGATGTAAAATTAATTTTAGACGTATTTATAAGAAACGGAATTAAGTCGAAACTTGGAAAGTTCCATTTAATAATTAATGGCTAAAGCTCAAAAAGTAATAACATTTTGAAATAGATTTTGAAATGAAATCTTATCGAGATTATTAAAAAAAATAATTTTATCAGTGTACCAAACAGTGTACGCAGCAAGAACAAATAAAAATTATATTGTGAATTATGCCTGAGGATTGAGTCCGTAATAACGAACAATCAATTCAACAGAGCACTGCGAGAATGTAAGCCGCCAATTGCCTCACCTCTTAACGACCACCCCAACTATGTTATTCTATGGCAGATTCCTAATTACCCGTCTGGGTGGGTTGCAGGTATATAACGAAATGCATGCTTATTTTCATTAATATCGAAAAATGATTTGTAGTCTGTACAAACCATGGTTGCTATTTTTGCCAGCTGAAGGTGAAGCAAGAGGAAAATTCACCTATTAAAGCCGATTATGAACTATAAAAAAACAAGCGTGCGAATAAAATACTTTACACGGACACACAAAAGACAACATAAGTCGAAAAATTATCGTGAAAAATTATATAGACTATATCGACAATTACGCAAACAATACCTTTAAAAAATGTAAAATGAAAATGTTTAAAGTGATTTGCTAATTCAATGAAGTAATTAAACGAGACATTACTAAATAAACACCAAATAGTTTTCAAGTTTTACATTTATAATAAAGAAGGTAATCACGAAGCAGAAAGTATTGAAGCAATTTGAGTGCATGACTTCTAATTAGGAATGACCATTTGCCCCGTTGCTCAAAAATATGTTCGTATCGTGTGACATCAGCACATAAAACTTTACAAGAAATTCAACTCGAAATGTGTGAATATTTACTTTCAATTCAGTTTTCCATTTCTGCGCATAAATTTGCTCTAATACTATAGTATTAAAACTGTATTATATTTATTTCTTTAAGGAAATGAAAAATAAGGAAAACATTTTTCTACAATCAGAAATGAAAATAAGTAAAATTTTATAATTCATTTTCTCCATATATAAAAAAAATGCTTGCGCAGAGAACCTTAAGCAAATACCAATCGTATCATTAACTTGGAACAATGACGCATACAAATCTGCTCAATATTTCCGCGTGGAAGTCTTTTAGATCGACCAGACCATCTAAGTGACGAGGCGAGGGGGACTTTCGAGCCGCGACTAATAAATGAACTGATGAGCAGCGGTATGACAGGTAGCAAAGTAAAGTGACAAAGGAATGCTTACGCATCCGGTTAACGCGCAGGCTCCTGACAGACTCCCAGTTATTCTACATTGTTTTTTGATTCTAACGATACTGTTCTATTGTAATGAAAGTAATGCAATTTAATGCTTACTTGGTGCTGTGTATAGTTTGTCGTACTGTTTAGGAAATTTTTACTTCCTGAAGGATTGCACCAAAATTTGTTAATATCAGATTCAGTTTTCGATCATTGTTTCCCCTTTATTATCTGAAATTATTTATATGCGCATTCACTTATTGAATGATCCTTGAATTAATGGACATGGTAATTATTAGGGAGCGGATTTCTGTGACTTAGCTATGCTATGAAGCAACGGACAAAAATATGCAAAGCGCAAATTCGTGAAATTTGTTTAGAATTGGATGTTATGTAGTGCATATTTATATATATTTGGCCGATTCCTTCTG